TTAAAACAAAAGTTAACAAGCAGAAATGAAAACTAAAAATACAAAAGACATGACAAATTGCAGAAAATACAAAGACCCAGTGTGCAGGGTGCTTCATTTAACACAAATTAATAAACTTTTCGGGACATTGGTTCTAAAAATGCATTAAAGGAACAATACCCATTGAATCAAAATGCAGAAATCAGCAGAAAAATCGAAATATTTATGCAATGCTATCAAAGTTTGATCATATTCAAAACACTCAAAATTACCTAACAAATTAAAAGAAAAGGCAACGATTAGGGAAAAATGGGAAGAAACCCTTGAATCAAACCAAAGGCAGAAAACACATTTACCTTAGCTCATTTAAAACGCGGAGAAATAAAGAAAAATAAGAGCGAAAAGGTCGGTATCAAGAGCCAAGGAACTTCGCCTCTGACGGAGTAGTTTTATTTACCGTTTAGACCTTTTAACTTTTCTAATTTTTAGTTTCCAGGGGAATATTACATGGTAGCACCCTAGTCTTTGGGTATTTACATGTTCTCCATAACATTAAGAAGATAATAAATTGTATCACACATCTCCAAACTAATCTATGACTCTTATTTTAAATTGGTCCTCAAACTTTTAAATATTTTAATTTATCCTTAAATCATGTCTCTTATTTTAAATTAATCCTCAAACTTTTGAATCTTTCAATCTCATATCCAAATACATATTTAATTTCAACCTAAATTTTATTTTTTAAACATATTATAATATAGCTTGGCTTAACAGTTTTATCAACATGAAATGTGATTAACATATAACGATAGTTTATGATGAAATTAAAACATTCAAAAGTTTGAGACCAATTTAAAACGAGGATCATGATTTAGGGGACAAAATTGGAATGTTCAAAAGTTTGAGGACTAATTTAGAATGGAAGTCATAGTTTTAGGGATAAAATTAGATCATCTAAAAATTTAAAGATCAATTTAAAATAAAAATCATACTTTGAAGATGTATGATGCAATTAATTCTTAGGAAAATTAATTATTGTCTCTATTGCCTTCTCTTTTGTGTGTGTGGCCAATTGGATACCGAAAATAGAACTACTTAAATAATATGAAATTTTTATGTAAAGTATGTACGTTTTAGGAAAATATATTAAGAATTTAGGAAACGTAAAATTACAAAAGTTTAGAAAGTACGAAAATAGATTATTGATAAAATATAAAAAAGATAATTATATGAAAATTTAAAATTTTTAAGGGTGTGACCGCCCCCATCACCCCTCGCTTCATCCCTGGCCGGGAATGCACTTTATATTTATACAGCCAATAATATTACAAGCCATAAACATACAGAGAAATTAGTAAGCATTGGAGGAAAGTTCAAGCAATATGTTCACACTTACTCGTATGCTGCAATAAGGAATTAGCTTTTCTTTGAGCTCGGTTCGTCCCGGTTAGGGCGATCTCTTTCAGTGCTTCATAAACACCAAACTGAAGTGCAGCCAAAGGAATTTTATATTCTTTACGACGTATTTAGAATTTGTTATAAACTTCCTGCGGCCTAGGGTGTGTGAAATAGGATTAGGGATGCACATGGGACTCGAGCCTTACAGGTTTCGATCCGACCCGATCGGGTCATTTTTTATAATTCGGATTCGAGTCGGGTTCATGTTTAGGGTGAAAATACCCGACCCAACCCTGGGAAAAAATAATTTTACCTTATATAATTAGAAATAATTACAATAATACTCTTCTATATTTTTTTCAATTAAATCATTGTTTTTATTGAATAAAAATAATATTTTTATTATTATTTCGGGCCGGGTTTGGATTTTATTTCAAAAAGTTGGGTCGGGTTTGGATCGGGTGGAGGATATATATTATGTGGATTGGGTTGAGTTTCGGGTGGAGGAGTCATTGTTCTCGGGTTGGGTCGGGTGGACCAAAAGTCCGACCCAACCCGATCCATACCCATCCCTAATTAGGATGCATTGATTCATTATATCAAAAATTTAAATAATTAATTATATATATATTTTTTTTATAATTGGATTCCATCTCTTTTAAAAAACGAAGAATACATGTACCCAAAAAGAACAAAAACAAAGAATACTGCAATTGGTCTTATAAAACAAACATAGAAGAACATGAAAATGTGTATTAATAAAACAACAACGGTCCAATTTTGCTGCGAAAAAATAAAATATAGTATATTGAAATCTGAAGATATAAAGCCTGTCTTAGACAACAGTGTGGGAAATTAAAAAGAAGGGGAAATTCTTTTCTCAAAGCAGAGAAAAACAACGAATGCATGGTCAGAGCTTAGGTTTAATTAGTTCTAAATGAAATCAAATGTCATTGTCATTTTAGCATAAGGTCAGGGGACCAGTTGAGCAGAGCATGGCCTACTTGCAATATTATATGTCATTACTTCAATGTTTACCCTTTCATCCAAATAAATAGTTGTTGATTCATTTTAAATTACTTCCAATAAAAAAATCATTGAAATTCATAGGTCAAATTATCTAAAAGTTCAATGTACTATTTGTTTTTAAGAGAAGGATTAAATTAATGAAATATTAAGATATTGAGAGCAGTGGTAGATTCAGAAATTTAATAATGGGGTCCAAAATTTTAATTTTTTTTTTAAAATAATGGGTATGCAAAAATTATAATTTTTCCCCTTAACACATTAAGCTAAATTTAAACGCATTACCAAAATAATGGAGATGCACTTGGCCCCTATGGGAGCTTAGTGCATCCGCCACTACTTGAGAGTTATTTTGTTAATATTACGATCAAATAAGTTGAGGGTTAAAATTAATTAGAGATGGCATCGAGTTAGTTATGTCAAGCTTTTTAATCAATTTGACTCGAGAAATATACCATTCACTTAAATTCGATCCTACCCAAAATTAGGGAGGTCCTATCCACCCTGAATTTCGGGATAGAAAAGCATTTGACCCGACCCAATATAATTATAAAATAATTATATTCTCGTTATGTAAAATAAGAATTTAATTGAAATAAATTATAAAGAGAGGTATTATAACAATTATGACTATATAGACATCATACTATTATCCCGAATCGAAATAGATTGAAGATTTTTACTCTAAATTCAATAATGATCAACTAGACATGAGCCTATTATTTAAAAATAATAATCTTATTGAGTTGAATTCCGTTAAATTAAAATAAAATTATCATATCTAATATTAATTGTTTAAAAAAATAGAAAAAACATTTTAATATATTTTAAATCAAATAATTATTTTATAACTTTTCATACTAAAAAACTCGATAAAATAATATCTTAAAATTATAAGATTAATAGTATGTTTTACCCAAAATTTTAACACGTTGTCAATCCCACCTCATTTCTATCCTATTTAAAATATTATGAAATACTAATATTTAGAGTTTTCTCCTATTTGGGAGTCTGGCATAACTTTAAATATATCAACTTAATAAAAGTAAAAATAAATAAATAATGATATTACTATTTACTACCTTATAAGAAACGACTTCTATTAATCTAGTTAAAAAATATCTTAAAATTTATTTTTATAAATGATAATTAATATTTCTATATAAATATTTTTATTATTTCATATTTGTACATATTTTTTAATAAATAATAAAAAATGTATACTTAATGGTTGAATGCGTAATTAACACATTTATATACATATAATTTTAAGTTTTACCTCTAAAAAATTTATAAAAATATTTTAATTACCTTGTTAAATATTTAAATTTATTCTTTATTATTTTAATTTTTATCGAAATTTAGTTATTTAAATTTCAAAAATTGATACGGTTTTTTTATTTCGATGTTCGGATGAACATATCAGATTTCTGTTAACGAAGATGTTTGTCTTAATAATTTAGTAAAAATTCGTTTATATATATATATATATATATAATATCAGGTTTACGCGCCATTAGCGTCTGCAACCAAATGCAAAAGAGAAACAGATAAAATAGTTACTTATTTTTTTTATTTGGAAAAAAATAGTAAAATATATATATGTAAAAGGTGATTTTTTTGAAGAAAAGAACATTACATGAAAACGTTATGATGCTGACGAATCTGAAACAGCTTATTTTCTCTCTCAAAATGAAGAGAACGAGGAGAGAACGTAACAACAACATCCATCTTCACGGTTCTAACGACTTTTGTATCGGCCTGAACCGGATTCTATGGCGGAACCGGCAACGTATCTTCTCCTTCACCTCCGGTTGTCTCGTCCTCTTGTTCTTCGTCATATCCGTTTTCGCCCCTCCTCCCGACGCCGTTAATCCTTTCCTTCCTTTCCTTCCTTTGCACTCTTTGGTACGTCATCACATTCTCGCCGTCTATGCGTTTTTTCTCCAACTTCGAGAAATAAAATTAATATTATTTTGTTTTCTTTATTTTTAAAAAAATAAAATTTGTGCTTGTTGTTTTGTTTAGGTGAGGAAAGAATCCAATTTTAAAGCGGTGTTTCAGGTTCCGGTACGATTTTCCTTTTTTCTTTTACTTCTTTTCTACATTTTAGTTTAAGTGCTTTAATCTTAATGTCATTTATTTGTATTTGAGTTTGATGACTTGTTTGGATCTTAAATTCGGTTTTGATTAATAAATTTTGATGCTGTTTAGGCAAGTGGAGGAAATTTAGATCGTGATTTATGGAGTTCTAGTCTATCAAAGTTCTACTATGGATGCAGTAACGCCTCTAATATGTTTCGAAGTAAAGTATTCCAGTTTTTGAATCCTCATTTTTATTACTGTTTCTATTTAATTTTAAAAAAAAAACTTGTTGGATTTGATATGAAATTATTAATTTCATACCTATTTGGAATTGGCTTTAAATTGAATACCAGCTCTGTTGTTGAAATCTGTTCTCTGGAAAAGAAGAAATGTTTTAGGCGTTTCTTCATTTAATATAATTAGTTTGTTCTATTGTTGATGGTTGTACGTTGGTGAAGTATTAGGATTCTTTCGTCTCATTTCAAAGCTATTCTTCTTCTTATTATTCTCGTACTGTTCTATGTTTCAGCTGCTGATGTGAAAACACATCCCAATCGTTACTTGTTGATCTCCGCCAGTGGAGGGTTAAATCAACAGAGAACAGGGGTAAGTTTTTCTGAAAAAGACCTTATATAGCTTCTGTTTTGCTTATATCCTTATTGCCTATTGGAATTGCTAGCCATTGTTGATTTTTTTGGCGACAGATTGTGGATTCTGTTGTAGCAGCATATATTTTAAATGCAACACTGGTAATTCCCAAGCTTGATCAGCGTTCTTACTGGAAAGATAAAAGGTCTGCTGTGATATTCATGTTTGACTAAAACCAGGGGCATTTTCTGTATTCTGTGTTCATATGTGATGGGTTATTTGATGCAGTGGTTTTGCTGAAATATTCAATGTTGACCGGTTCATTTCATCTCTCTCTCGAGATGTTCGAATCGTCAAAGAGCTACCGCTGGTGGGAGGTAAACCTTGGGTACCACGTCGAATGAGTCTTCCAAGGAAGTGCAATGAGAAATGTTATCTGAGTCGTGTTCTACCTGTTCTGATTAAAAAGAATGTAAGTGACTCTAAATTTTGTTTATGTACTATATATGCTTAGAATATATGGTCTGGTTTTTGTGAGCATTATATATCAAACCTCCTCCTTTATCAAGAAAGATGATCCTAACCCATCTTTTCAAATGTTGAACTATATTAATAAAAATAAAAATAAAAATGTTGAACTATAATAGTCTCCCTTGAAATTCTTTTTTCCCATTAAACAAGCACAACATTTGGAAACTGACAGTTTCCCCATCCTTTTTCCTGTTGCAGGCTGTTGAGCTTAGAAAGTTTGATTACAGGCTTTCAAATAGGTTGGAAACAGATCTACAGAAGCTTAGATGTAGGGTGAACTACCATGCTCTAACATTCACAGATCCCATTCTTCACATGGGCAGACTCTTGGTTGAAAGGATGAAAAAGAAAACCAAGCATTTCATTGCATTGCACTTGAGGTAAAGGGCACTCTGTTATTAATTGTTATTCTTCGTCTTTAGATATTGCCATCTCTTTTGGTTGCCAATAATGGATGAAATTTGGCTACTGCAATGACTGTATATTCAATGTATAATCAGTTGGTCCCAACATATTTACTGTAAAAAAATGGACTTCATTAATGCAGGTCGTTATGTCATTTTCCGTAGGTTCGAACCTGATATGCTCGCATTCACCGGATGCGATTATGGTGGAGGAGAAAAGGAAAGGAAGGAACTTGGAGCAATCCGGAGGAGGTGGAAAACTTTACATGTAAGGCCATGAGAACTGTTAAAATACACATAGTTAAACCTTAATAGCTTCTGAAAGTATTTGAACATGTTTATTTCGACATGAAAACTGCAGTCGAGCAACCCTGCAAAGATGAGAAGGCAAGGGAGATGTCCGCTAACACCGGAGGAAATCGGTCTACTGCTCAGAGCATTGGGTTTCGGAAGCGATGTTCACATATATGTGGCGTCGGGTGAAGTTTATGGAGGTGAAGAAACGTTAGCCCCGCTCAAAGCACTCTTTCCAAATTATCATTCAAAAGAGACTATAGCCAGTGAGAAGGAGTTAGCACCATTTTCAAAGTTTTCCGGTCGCATGGCTGCACTTGATTACATCGTCTGCGATAAAAGCGATGTTTTCGTCTCGAACAATAACGGAAACATGGCTAGAATGTTAGCCGGTCGGAGGTAGGCAACTTTACATGAATCACATAACACACTTGTTTGCTACCTGTGTTTCTAAATATGTTCTATCTATCAACAGAAAATACTTCGGCCACAAACCAACAATTCGACCTAACGCTAAGAAGCTGTACAAATTGTTCTTGGCCCGAAACAACATGACGTGGGACGAGTTCGCCTCTCAGGTTCGAGCTTTTCAGACCGGGTTCATGGGAGAGCCGAAAGAAGTGAAACCCGGCAGAGGTGAGTTCCATGAAAACCCGCATAGCTGTATATGTGAGGCCGAGGGAACCGAAACATTTAAAAAACAAACCCTCGACGATCTCCATGAAATCGAGTACAATATCAGGGATGCTGCTGAAGCAACCGATGAACAAGAGACCACTGAGTATGATCCGGATTGGACCGAGGTCGAATATTTAGACAACACTAAAGAACCGCCCGATACGGACAGCAATGTGTCGAACAAACAAGAGCAACCTGAACTTGAAGAGTTATTTTCAGACTAGAACCGAAACTGAAGCAGGTTGGAAGAGTCGGTAATGAATTATATGTCTTTTCACCCCTCAAATTATTTGGCATTCTTTTTTACGATCATATACATAAGGAATGGAGGTTGCTGCCATGGACAACGATTTTCACCGTCTCTGTAGATAAAAACGGCAAGGCCGGGGCAGTCCGGTTTCTGTAGATGTTGGAATGTGAGAGGTAGAAGAAGGTTCCTGTTTTTCTTTTTTATACATTATAATCGTGTTGGACGATTTCTGCCGCAAGGCAATTGATGATTGATCATTGATGGAATAGTGTAGTTGTTATCCTTTCTTTTCTTTTCTTAAAGAGGCAGATGTGAAGAGTATAGAGCAAAAAGGAAATGAGGTTAAATTAGTATCTTGTGTTTATATAATTCAATAGTATCTTGTGTTTGTCTATATATATATATATATTTAAAGATATAATATTTTTATATTATTTTATCTTTAATTTTGATTACAATAAACTATTCAGGGTTCAATTCGATAGATAAATAGTTAATTTTAATGAAATTAAAAAAACTATAACAGAGAAATAAAATATGATGTCGCTTATTTTTTATTAAAAATATTTTTTCATTAATACGAGGTAACTATATGAAATAATATTCATTCAATTTTTTTTTAATCAAATAACAATAAATGCATATATCCTAATAATAATTTGAACTCAAAATTAAAAAAATAATATTTTCATTTACTGCTAATTTCTCAATAAATTCTTTAAAATAATATGTTTTATATATTTATTGTATGTTATAAATATATTTAAAAATTAAAATAATGCATTAATATTCAAGTAAATCAATCTATTCGTTTAGCAGGAAACGACACCGTTGCAAGTCGTAATGTGAGAGAACGGCAAGTGAAAGTATACGTGGCATAAATGATAAATGGTAATCCACTTGAAATGAAACAACGTGGCAATATTCGCATCGCATCCTTAGTTTTCCTTCTCTCTCTCGGCAGAGAAAAAGGAGCCGAGCAAAATCAATACACATACACACCCCTAGCAAGGCAAAAGACAGCAATGGCGTTGAGACTCCCCACTCAGCTGGCGACACGTGGAACATTCCGCACCCACCACAACTCCAGAACTGCAACCACCACTGCGCTTTCATGGCGGCGGAATCTAACGCCGGATGCTCTACTAATCCCCTCCTCCTCCACCTCTCTAGCCACCAGTAAGCACCTCGTATTCTTCATTTTGCTTCAAATCAAACGCTATTTCATCTTGATTCTTCTTCTTTTTGTCTCCGGCAGAGAAATCGCATGTGCAACAAATGGTGACTTGCAGTGCCAGTGGAAATGCCCAGGCTGTGAATTTGGCTCCGGGGACTCCCGTCAGGCCGACCAGCATACTAGTCGTTGGCTCCACCGGAACTCTCGGGAGACAAATCGTTAGACGCGCGCTCGACGAAGGGTACGACGTAAGGTGCCTTGTTCGGCCGAGACCCGCTCCTGCCGACTTCCTCCGCGACTGGGGCGCCACCGTTGTCAACGTAAGATCTTGGTCTAATTATGATTTTAATTCCTCTACCATGTTGAAATTATAAATTTAATCTCTGTAGTTCAGTTTCTCATAACTTAGTATCTCCATTTTATAATCTATAACTTTATTAGGAGCTCCAAATTGACGACATTATTAGTTTCTGTTCATGTAATGGTGTGAAAATTTTATGTTGTTATTAGAAAATTATAACGTATAGTAAATTCACATGTCAGTTGACTAATGCTCTTCAAAAATTTATAATTTAATTTACCCAAATTTATTGCTTGTACCCTTTTTAAGATTTGCCCTTTATTGTATATTTTTGAGCAGGCAGACCTTAGTAAACCAGAGACAATTCCTGCAACATTGGTTGGTGTCCATACGGTTATCGATTGTGCCACAGGCCGTCCGGAAGAGCCTATCAAAACGGTATCGTTGAATAATTATGGTTAATCTTGCTGTGTTTTTTTTTTCTTTTGTTGTTGCTCAAACCTAAGGTCATCTAATTCTCATGTGTTGTGTTTAGGTAGATTGGGAAGGAAAAGTTGCTCTTATACAATGTGCAAAAGCAATGGGGATTCAGAAATATGTGTTCTTTTCCATTCACAATTGTGATAAGCATCCCGAAGTTCCACTAATGGAGATCAAGTATTGCACTGAAAAATTCCTTCAGGACTCCGGCTTACCCCACATCACGATCCGGCTATGCGGTTTCATGCAAGTAAATGTCATCTAAAACTCGATCTTTGCCGATGTTATGTGTTTTTGTGTGTGTGTGTATATATATATATATGTTTCTAAAGTCATACTCGAAAATGTTACATGCTTTAAAGTGAACATGAATACAAACATGATTTCTTGGAAGAACCAGTATGATTGAATTAATGCATGTGTTTGAAGTTCGAACCTCGTTTGTTTTTCGTATTTAAGCTGTGTTGTAAATGGTTGTTTCCAATTTGTCAGGGGCTTATCGGCCAATATGCAGTACCTATACTGGAAGAGAAGTCCGTATGGGGGACAGATGCTCCGACTAGAATTGCCTACATGGACACACAGGTTGCACATGCTTAAATTGTTTTTCGGATTTGTTTCGTGTATATATGGCATGATTGTTGTTATCAATCGTGGGATTTCGGTATTTAATCTAGTTTTCTTTTGATTTTAGGATATTGCTCGATTGACGTTTATAGCTTTGCGCAACGAGAAAGTTAATGGCAAGCTTCTCACATTTGCTGGTCCTCGCGCTTGGACAACCCAAGAGGTACGTAAGTTTGTATTGTCGCTGCTCGTTCGGAATCAGTGACGATTTCTGGTGATTAATCTTGAAGATTGTGCAATGTTTTAGCTTTCATATCATCAATGTCCTTGGGATCTTGACTTATCATGTTAACATATTGCCATTCCTAAGTGCTAATATGGAACTCTAGAGGAAAAAAAAGAGCCACTGATTTATTCTGTGTTAAATTTTCTTGAATTTAAGGTGATAGCATTATGCGAGAGGCTCGCAGGGCAAGATGCTAACGTTACAACAGTTCCGGTTACCATCTTAAGATTCACACGGCAGCTGACTCGGTTCTTCGAGTGGACGAATGATGTTGCTGATCGATTGGCATTTTCCGAGGTAAATAAGTGGTTATTTCTCTTGTCTACTCGGCATTATCCCGGTGTTGGACGGTTATACTTGTCAACATCATTCTCTATATCCTTATCAAGGATACTAATGCCGTGCACATTGGCAGGTTCTTACGAGTGACACGGTTTTCTCGGCACCGATGACCGAGACGTACAATCTTCTCGGTGTCGACCCGAAGGATATAGTTACACTGGAAAAGTATCTGCAGGATTACTTCACCAACATTTTGAAGAAACTGAAAGACATCAAAGCTCAATCTAAGCAAACCGACATTATATTTTGAAAGCAAAAAACCTACATGTAAGTACCGTGTACCTTATGTTATATAGGCAAAGATACAGTGTGGGGGTAAAACATTTGCTTATGGTCTTACCTTTAGCATCATTAAAATATTTATTTTTTATTAACAAATGACATCACATAAAAATGTTGCATGACATTGTTGTGTTGTCACGCATTAATTTTATGTGTAATTTTATTAACTTGTGATACTATACAAAGATATCATGGACACATGATATTGTTGTGTGGTGTCACATGTAATTTTCTTCTTAGTCCTATTTACTTTTTGTTGACATGTGGTATCATATCACGTTGCCACGTCTTGGTTCTCAAGAGTTGTAAAATTAAAGAAAAATGAACTGACACGTGGTATCATCATTTGATGCCATGTCACCCTATTATGTTAGGATAGCTATTGAATTGATAAACTAAATGAATTTTAGGTATCAAATTGAATATTTCCAAATATAAATATTATTACATTAAAAATAAATCTAAAGTGTAGGGTCATTTGTGCTTTTTTCCCCTCTAGGGGTCTTGATCGAAACGTTACACCTATCTTTTACATTATACAAAGATATATAGCCACCTAATTACCGTTATTATAGCATAGTTTGTATTTAATGTTTTGATGCTCTAATCTCAATACAACCCCTTTCTTCCCTTTTACGTATTTCAATTGATTTCCTTCTTTTCCGTGCACTTGCCATTCATGTAAATAAGGTAGTCATAGTTTATTATAAAATAAAATAAAATAAAATAAAATATTAACCCTAATTAAAGTGGCAATGGAAAAACATTAAATTTTTTAAATAATATCTCGTGATGATGTTAACACCGTCTTTTTATAATAGAATGTGGTGTTTATAAATTAGTATATGTTCAGAATTTTTATTGATTATCGACAATGTATAAATATCATACAGATATAAATATTCAAATCTAAGATTTTTAGGAAGAATAATTTTTTCTTTAATTACTGATACCACTTAATGAGTTGATTATTCAGCTTGATAAATTTTACTTGTAAAAACTAGATATTGAATATGGTGTGTTTAATTTTGAGTCGTTTTTATTCGATCGAATTAAAGAACCGAGTTCCGGTCCGACCAGACCTAAAACGTGAGGTGAGGGGATTTGGGTATTACTATTTATTCACATGCTTTGCTTTGACCTCACTTGCTACTTGGTGTACTCCATTCTATTGATTCTCTTTAGATTCGGTAATTCAACACTATATAACCATTTATGTAGTTTATCCTTTAGGCGTGTTTGGTTCACGACATATAGAATTAATGGAGAATGAAATTTTCATTCTCTTGTTTGGTTGGTCAGTAATCTTATTTTTCGGTAATATTTTATTTTCAACAATGAATTTTTTAGGGTATATTATCGGGAATGTGATTACCTCATTCCCTTAGGTATTGTTAGATTACCGGCGTTTTGGACTAAAAAGCCCTTACAATTTTTTTAAAAAAATATTCTTTTTCTGTCGTTGAATAATAAAAATTCTACTAATGTTAAATTATAAATTTATCCTTATACTATTCTAGATTTACAAAAATAGGCCTATAATTAAAATTTTATATGAAGTTCAAGAGTTAAAAATAAAATTTTACCATTTCATTAAACCTATTTATCTTTTTAATTTTGTAAAAAATATATATATAAATTTTATGAATTTAAATTTTTTAAAGAAAATATATAAATTAATTATAGTAATATTATAGTAGAATTCAACTTGTTAAAAAACAAATATATAATAAGGATAATTTGATAAAATATACATTCTATTAATCTTTTATTCCTTTAATCTTTTATTTCTTTAACCAAACACTGTAATCTTACATTGCTGCTAAACCAACCAAACACAAAATACAACATTCTCAGTAATCATATTCCCCGTTAATGTTTTATTTCTACTGATAATCTTACATTACGTAAACCAAACATACCTTTAAAGAATTCTTTTAATATAACTTTTTATTTATAATAACAAATTTCAAATTACCGTCTTTATTTAAAATATTCAACATCTCATTCAATATGGCCCATTCAATAAAACAATTAATATAATTTTTTAATAATAACAAATTACGTTCTATTAATATAAAAAGAAGAGAGATTTGTTTTTGATTTGATCTAATCACGCTCCCCTGCAATCGACACACTGACGCAGCACAAACCACTGTTTCGAGAAGTGTTGTTGCCATCTTTTTTTTTCCTTGTCTTCTTTCTTACTTTCTGTTTCTGTTACAACCCAGAGGACGCACTCCTCGCTGTCAAAGATTCCCTCTTTTTCTTTCTCAAACACTGAAATTTTCCTGAGAAACAATCACTATTACCATGTTGTCTGTTTCCTGCATCTAAATAAGACACTAATCCTTGTTGAGTCATTTTCCTTTTTTTGGTGGGGGAAAGTCATGGGATGTTCTAGCTCAAAGCTAGATGATCTCCCTGCTGTTTCTCTTTGTCGGGAAAGATGTACTTTTTTAGACGAAGCGATTCAACAACGATTTGCTTTAGCTGAAGCTCACGTTGCTTACACCGCTTCATTGAAGTTATTTGGTCAGTCTTTGCATAATTTCATCGAGCATGATTTTGGTACTTCTTTAGAGGCGTCGCCGCCTCCTTCTCCGCCGTCTCATAATCAACTTAAGAGTAAAGCGGTGGATCCGATTGAAGTTGGTTCGAGTTCACCCAAAAAAGGCGCTGTTTCTCACCGTCATTCCCATTTCAATTCCGGATCTCATATTCGGTTCCATTCGGATTCGGATGATGATGATTCGGGCGGGTCTTTGCACCATTCAGACCACTCTTCTCCTTTGCACGGCAGCGGCGGTGGTCAGATAGAGTATATGCATCAGAATTATCCCAATTATGCAGCTTTTGAAACTGGGTCTTTTCCAGGTGGGTTTACGCATATGAATTTTATGAAGAAACAATCAACGCCGTCTATTGTTTATGCACAAAGGCCTATGAATCCAGAGATTGTTTATATGGGTGAATCTTCATCATCTTCTTCTTATTATCCTTATTCGTATGTAAGTAATGATAATCCAACTTCTAGTTCTAGTTCTAGTTCTAGTTCCTTCCTTAATCCGGGTTACCCAAATTACGGTGGTTTCAGTCATTATTCTAGTTATCCGGCTCCTGGTTACGAGTCTTTAATGCAACCGTCGGTGGGAGCGGCGGCAGGGTCATCCTCGAAACCGCCGCCGCCTCCGCCTTCACCTCCCAGAGCTTTAGCTTGGGATTTTTTGAACCCTTTCCAGAGTTATGAAAACTACCATCCTCCTTATACGCCGAGTAGGGACTCGAGGGAGGTGAGAGAAGAGGAAGGGATCCCTGATTTGGAAGATGAGGATTATCAACATGAGGTAGTTAAAGAAGTGCATGGAGATCAGAAATTTGTCGATGGCGGCGCCCATTCGATGCCTCCGGTCGAAGATATGGATGGCAAAGTTGCTAGTAGTGAAGCAGAGGCTTCACATCAGCAGGCGAGGCCGAGCGATGGCATGGAGAATGATGGGGTGGAATATGAGGTTCATGTGGTGGATAAGAAAGTTGTGGTTGATGAGAAGGCTGATGAGCATGGCAACAGGCCACAAGCCGCTCCGAGGAATGCTTTCGAATTGGCTCGAGAGATACAGGTTCAGTTCGTGAGAGCTTCCGATTCAGGGAGTGAAATCGGCAAGTTGCTTGAGGTGGGAACACTTCACTATCAGCGCAAACATGGTAATTGTTTTCACCTGTGAATAGGAAAGTGTGGATTTTCACTATATATATAGGTTTCTGATTTGCAGATTGATTAGATTGTTATTTTTTCCTGTAATGGTAATAGTTTAAATGCTTAACTTCGGATTTCGGTATCTTTTATGAAACAGGTTCTAAGATGTTGCATGTGGTTACTCCTTCTTTATCAGTTGTATCATCATCTCAGCCATCTACTTCTGAAACTGCCGAGGCTTCATCTTCAATAGACAACACCAATCCAGCTTTACTAGACTTCGGTGAAGAATTGTCCAGGAAACCCAAAAACCTTTCCTCTACTTTGCAGAAGTTGTATCTTTGGGAAAAGAAACTCTACAATGAAATAAAGGTATATTCTATTTGTCTTTTTTACCTATCTGCACTTCAGAATTTCTTGGTTACCTCAAAATGCTGTTTGGTCTACTTAATTCATGTGTTGCATTCAGTTCCTTTTCATTTCAGTATATTGTGTTGTTTGATTGTCTATTACCTCTGCCCTCAATGTTTTAATTGAATTTGATTTATACGTCATTAAGGAGCCGTTTCTGTGGACGTTACTGATCGGAGATATTCTTTCACCTTTGAAGGGCTTCAGCTTGTTGCATTTTATGCTTTTTCATGGCATTATAGTGGAATACTATTGTTTCTGCACCCTATTTCGAGCTGATTTTCCAGGGTTATTACGATGGCTTAGTTATGTTCTGGATTAGGAGCACTTGAGCCTTTTTCTTTCAGTAGTAACTTTTTTGATGTTCTTTAACTAAGAGTTTCTTACAAAAATGCAGGCTGAGGAGAAGATGCGGGTAGAATATGACCGGAAATGCCGCAAGTTGAAACGACTGGATGAAAAGGGTGCTGAAGCTAATAAAGTTGATTCAACCCGGAATATAATCAGGAGCCTATCCACAAAGTTAAGAATTGCAATTCAAGTTGTTGACAAGATATCTGTGACAATCAATAAGATCAGGGACGAAGAACTATGGCCGCTGCTCAATGAACTGATTGAAGGGTATTTTTTTCTCCTGTTTTTTCGACTAGTTGCATTTTCCTATCTCATTCTGCTTTATCTCCTTACGTCGCTCTTTAGTCTCGGTATTTTGCTTTTAGCTTGTAATAATGTTCAATCGAGTGATAACCTTATATATGACCATTGCTTTCACAATTTTCTCATGTTTTTTCCCTCGTAATTCTTTGATCTAGGTTAAGCAGAATGTGGAAATGTATGCTTGAATGCCATCGTAATCAGTATCAGGTGATTAGAGAAGCCAAAACGTTAGGTTCTATTGGGTCAGGCAAAAAGCTTGGCGATGACCATCTTACTGCAACGTTGCAGCTCGAGCACGAACTTATTAGTTGGACACTAAGATTCTCTCGCTGGATCGGTGCCCAGAAGGGTTATGTCAGGGCTTTGAATAATTGGCTTCTGAAATGTCTTTACTATGAACCTGAAGTCACTGATGACGGAATCGCTCCCTTCTCACCTAGTCGGGTTGGTGCACCCCCCATATTTGTAATATGTAATCAATGGTCACAGGCAATGGATAGAATATCTGAAAGGGAGGTGGTTAACTCGATGCGGATTTTTGCCATGAGTCTACTCCAGCTTTGGGAACAAGATAAGTCCGAAATGCATCGGAGAATGATGGTCAATAAGGATTTAGACAGGAGGGCTAGGAATTTGGATAGAGAGGATCAAAGGTTACAGAAAGAGATTCAAGCATTGGATAAGCAAATTGTTCTGGTCTCCGGAGATGGCAATGGTCTCTTGGTAGCTGGACATGTGTATCAGAGTGACACGAGTAACGGTAATTTGCATGGGAGCTTGCAACGCATTTTCGAGGCAATGGAGAGGTTCTGTTCGGAGTCGTCCAAAGCCTACGACGAGCTTTTACAACGTGTTAAAGAAAGAATCGCTCAAGAGCACGAGAGAGTTTCGTAGGGAGATACAAAATGAGATGAACTAAGACATCATCCCTTTGGATCAATGATCTTGTTTATGCAGTCCGTTACCCCTGCGCGAGATGTAGCTCGATGGTGTGTTAGTCTGGTCCTGTAATGCACAACTTGGCGTTGTTAATGTTGCCAATATTATTCGTAAGTGAAGAAATCAGGAGGGGCAAGTTTCCCGGTGTTGTGGATTGCAAGTGTCTTCCAACCGACAACCGTCGAAGCTGGATACATTCCAGGCAAGAAGTAAGAACCGATCATGGTGTCGAAAGTTTCACTCAAACCGAACTCATCGCGTTCTATCGATTTGTTGCCATCATTTGCCTCCTTTCCATTGAACGAAACGGGGGTTTGGCGGTTACTTGTGCACATTAAGGCAGCCGAGGTGGTCAATCTTTTTTTTATCCTTGCAAGTTTAACATCCTGATTAGGACAGTTGAATCACGTGGAGTTATGATGGTCTGATGTGATTATACTTTGAAATTATTGTCCCTAACTTGATTTATTGCAGAGATTCATTGTTGAAAACCACTGTTACTGCCATGATTAATGCAGAAAAAGAAGATTACCCAGCAGATTGAAAGACCTCACTGCATGTACCGTACATGATGGAATCTTTATCTCCCAAGCCTAAAGTTTGTCTTTTTAAATGCCAGAAAATAATATTAATTTGATGAGGTGGAATGTTAAAAAAAATAATAAACTTGTAATTTAATCTCTAAATTAGATAAATTATCTTAAATTCTTTTAACTTCTCTTTTAGTTTACACTGCCGTTATCACTTTCAAAGCTGCTCTGCTCGGTGATGGCTCCAACCACCTCCATCTTCGTCTCCTTCTCTCCACCATCTTCTTGCTCTTTTATCTTCTTCCCCCTCCCCCCTCCCCAACTGTAGTCTGAAAAATATATCATTTTAAATTTAATCAATTTGATTCTAAACTCTGATCGATTAAATTGGCCGTTAGATTTAAAATAACAATAGGACATATTTAGAATCGAATGCAATTACAGGAGAAATAAAGTAATAATATAAAATCTGAAGAAAAGGATTAAATAGTGATTTGGCCACTTAATTGTATCTTACTCAATAATGTGGTACTTCAAGAATTTTTTTCTATAATTCGATACCTCAACTATATCTTAACTAACAATATGACACTTCAAGAAATTTTGTTATAGATTTGGCACTTTGTTGGGTAAGGTATATTTAGGGACGGGTATAGATTAGATTGGATTGGATCGGAACATCCTTATGTACATCTCTACACATGATAAACACGTGGGCGGAACATCATGGGGGCCAAGGGGAGCCTTGGGCTCCAATAATTATTTTTTAAAATATTAATTAATATTTATAAAATTTAACAAGTCCCCTCGATAAACGTTGCCCACTCTTTGTGATTAGCAAAGTAAAGATGCTTTTTTGCTTAGCATCAAATTTGCAATTTTCCATTAAACACCAAAAGTTACATCAGACAGATTAGTCAGATGTAAACATTTCTGCAAAAAAATAAATTTTGATGAACAAAACCAGCAAATGCTTCCCAAAGCTTGAAGCTGTAAATACACTCATCCTCTTTACTCTTAGGGTGCGTTTGGTTCACGGAATGTAAGATTATTAGTAGGAATGTAAGATTACCAGGGAATAAGATTACTGAGAATGTTGTATTTTGTGTTTGGTTGGCTCAACAGGAATGTAAGATTACCGTGTTTGGTTAAAGGAATAAAAGATTATTAGAATGTATATTTGACCAAATTATCTTTATTATATATTTGTTTTTTTTAACAAGTTTGAAAATATTTATATATTTTCTTTAAAAAATTTAAATTCATAAAATTTATATAATTTTTTTACAAAATTAAAAATATAAAAAGGTTTAATGAAAGGGTAAAATTTTATTTTAACCCCTGAACTTCATATAAAATTTTAATTATAGATTTTTTTTATAAATCTAAAATAGTTTAAGGATAAATTTGTAATTTAACCTTCGTAGAATTTTTATTATTCAATGACAGAAGAAGAAGGATATTTTTGAAAGAAAAAAAAAATTAAGAGCATTTTAGTCCAAAACGCCGGTAATCCAATAATACCTAAGGAAATGGAGGTAATGACTTACTAAATATTAGGCAGATACACATAATATCAGGGACTTAAAGCCATATTTACACAACCTCGAGGGGGTCTAAATTAATTAAGCCTTTTTCAGTTGGACTAGAAATTCAAGATGTTGGCGTAAGTTGTTAGATTCTGAAACCAAGGACTGTTGAACTGAGCCCAGAACTGATCCTGTGTCCAGTCACTGAGCATTTTGGGCATTTGAAGCTCTGGTAATTTCTCACTGCCCAATGGAAATTGCAGAGATAGTTTCTTCTCTGCTGTTTTCTCTTCTTCCATTTCTTTCTTGAAGAACATTTGGGGTGCAATTGATGGCACCAAAGCCTCCTTTGGACTGCAAAAAGAGATTGTTTCCATTGATGATGATGATGGAGATGTGTTGCTGTTCTTCATTGATTTCAACTCTTCCTCCATTGCTGCTCTCTGTTCCAGAACTTTCAAGGAAGTTGCCTTCCTGTATACTTTGCACAAAACTACATTCTGCATATTCAAACAAAAAAAAGGGTTTTAATTTATAAATTGTAAAAATTTACTTTATAGGTACAATAATTTATATAAGTTTTAAATGGTCCCTTCACTTTAATACTAAAATTTTCTTATTCTTTTGTACTCTTTTTAGAATTTGTGTATGATAAGTAATTAGTCTTTTTTTTAAAAAAACAATTCTCCTTAATGTAGTGACAATTTTTCTTTTCTTGTCTCCTTAATTAAGATTAATTATATTTGTAATATTAAATTTCTTGAATATTGATTGAAAATTAACATTTTTGTTTAGAAAATTTACATTGACTTATTAAATGTTAATATTAATTATGTTTATATAATTATTTTAGATATTTTGATTTTTCAAATTTTGACACCAAAATAAAAAATTTCAAACTTCTCCGTGCACATTAAGAAAGTTTGGGATGAATTTAGTTTAAGAAAAATATTGAAGTCAAAAGTCTTTTTAGTTTGGCAATGTGTTTTGTAGGTATAATTATGCCTCAAGTCCCTATAGTCTATGGAATTTTGAAGTTTAGTATACCTTTGGCAAAGAGCAACCGTCTGGGAGACGATACTCGTTCATCACCCAATCGGTCTTGCTTCCTCGTGGAGCTCTCCCTTTATAGAAAACAAGAGTCTTTCTCAGGCCGATGACGCGCTTTGGCTCCGACAAACTCACGATTTTCCGGTCGGAGCCAGTGGCTTTCCAGAACCCGTTCTCGGTAGTCCGGTTAGGCCTCCCACCACTTCCATGCTTCCTATCTCGCGGCACGAAGAAATACCATTCCCTCTCTCCAATATTCGACAACCCTACGGACAAAACACAGAAACAACAATGTAATCGTTTTGCCTATCTCCGTCGAACAACGAAACAAATACATAAGTATATGTATATGCATATGCATATGCATACACTTACCAGGCAAGTCCCAGGGATCATGGCGGTAGATGTTGAGGAATCCGATTACATCGTAATGGAACTTGTTGTCGTAAATCATGTTTCTGAGGTAAAATTCGAGGAGTTCTTCCTCTGTCGGATGGAATCGGAAGCCTGGAAGTTCGATCTTTGAGGTGTTATCATCCATACTGGATTGGCTGCTCATGGTGGTTGTAATCACCTAGTGATCCTACAGAATATAAGACAGAAAATACGAGAAATGTTTGCTGCATGCAAAGGACACAATGGTTGGTGGATAACCATTTGCTTATTTATAAATGTTTCGCACAGAGATAAACAGAAAGCGTTTACCAAGTCATCAGCAAAACAGTTGGTCAAATTCCATGAAAGATCCTTCCACTATTTGTTTAAATTTTTTTAAACATTTCAAAATCTATAGGCATAATGATAAAATTAGCCTCTAATGTTTGTCTAAACAGTTACTTTGATGCTTATTCTTTTTATTTTTACAAGTATTTTAGCCTTTAACATTTCAATTTTTGATTAAATAGTCTATGTTCAATAGAATTTGTTAGTTGACTAACAACCACATTTCCACGTGTACTTAATTGATGATATATATGACACATGTCATGCTATCATATTGAGTAAAATGTATGTGACATATCATTAATTAAGCATATGTCAAAATGTCACATCAATAACATACGTTGATCGTTAGTCAATTAACGGTTTCCATCCAACATTTATTATTTTGATAAAAAAATTGAAACATTATGGGTTAAAATGCACAAAAAAAGAGAATAAGAACCAAAATGATCATTTAAGAAAACATTGAGGGCTAATTTATCATTATATCAATAGAATAATACATGTACCTTTTACATAATTTCACCCAATAAAACTTAGAACCAGAAGCATCTGCAAGAAATGAGGGAACCGATACTGTGAAGTCGTTGTTCTTGAATGATGGAACCCACGCGCTTATATCACAATAAAGTCACCAGTGAGAAGGGTGGACGTGGACGTGGACGTGGACGAGGAATGGTTCTTGAGTTGTTTTCTTTGCTTGACTCTCCTTTATAGCTGGCTTTTGCTGGGAAATTCCAGATGAATGGGTTGCTAGCAAACAATGTTTTCCGAGAAAATCTTGTGCCATATAATTTGATCTTTGGACAACTGAGCCGAGAGATTGTATATGGGTCATCTAGTCTTTTTCAAACTTCTGTGATTTAGCTTTGTTTGAATTGGTCTCATAGGTTACTATTATCTCATAGCTGAACTCGAACACACATGATATTTAATTAGAGATGCATAAAAAAATCCGAATCACCGATTTTACGTAAAAAAATATTTGAAATTGGATTTGAGAAAAATCGGTTTTTTTAACCGGATCGGATATTTAAAAACCTAATAGTATAATCGGTTTGAGAAAAATTGGACAATCAGTTTTTTTACTGGATAAAAAACCAGTTTTTATTTGGAAAAAAATCCGATCTAAGATTTTAAAAACTAGGCGTTAATATAGCCGTTGTGGGGATTTTTTTGACCTTTTTTTACCGTTGTTTATAAAAAAAATCACCATTTTACCACCCTAAACATGTATAAATAGGTTGGAGATGTATTTGATTGATTACAACTTTTTCAAATCTTATTACACAACACCAAAAATCTCACAAATCTTATTTTTGTAATTTTTTGTTCATCATTGCTACAAATACCGACCCTAACACGGTTGAATCTTCCGTCGGGAGAAACCTTGAAGTCGTGAGAGTGATCGAACACACTCGAAACAAATATATTTGAGATCACCACCGGTTTTTTTATATCCGGTTTTTTTAAAAAACCGGTTTTTTTTCAAACCGAAACCTGTTACACCGGTTACACCATCCGACCCTCCAAACCGGGTTTTTTAAAATCCAGTTTTTTTGCTAGGTGAAAAAACCGGATCTATTTTTATCCGATCCGGATCGGTTTTTTATCCGACTTTGTGCATGTCTATATTTAATGATCAAATTTGAATATAAAAATCTTGGGCAAAGTACATAAGTAGTCCCTTGACTATAGGGTAATGTTTTGTTAAGTGCTCCTGCTATTGAAATTTATAAATGGTCCTCTGACTATAAGGAGTTGATTTGTTGAGTCTCATGAGTATTAAAAGTTACATTACGGTCATCCAACTATTCATATGTTCCAAACTGGTCATTTTCTGTTAAAAAATTGATGGTCGTTTGAGATGACTGTTAACATATTGTTTAGGATATGATAAAATTATATTTTAAAGATGTATATTTGAAACTGTCATTATTTTTAAGCACTTGCTCGATGATATAATATATACTTAGACTCGATCCATAATATACACCTCAAACGATTCTAAAATCAAATTTTATAATATCCCAATCAATAGGTTAACATCCAACTCAAAAGTTCATCAATTTTTAATGGAAAGGATGAGTTTAGAACATATGAATAGTCGAATGACTATTTTGTAACTTTTAATACTCTTATGACTCAACAAATCAACGCCCTACAATTGGGGATCATTTTATAAATTTTATTAGTCAGAGACTTGACAAAACAACGTCTTATAATTGAGGGACTAGGAATAGACGTAAGATTTATGTTAAGGGGCGAACTTATAATATTTTAAGTATGAGAGAACTTATAAAATTTTAAGGGACAAACACATAATTTCAATAAAAAAATATATAAAATATATAGAAATTTGAAATTTTAGGTGAACGACCGCCCCACCCGCTCTCCTCCAAGTCTATTCATGTGGGGATCATTTGTGTAATTTATCCAAAAATATTTAAAAGTTTCAAAATTTTAACGTTGCTAATGAATTAATATGTCGATAGAAATTTGAAGTGGTCAAGCCGTAATTTCAGATTGATATATTTATATCATACGGAATCAGATAACAAGTGCGTGAACATGTTACTGGAAGCATTACTGATTACTGATTACTGAACTGTTGACTTGACGACTCCACTCATTATTAAAATTGGATTAATTCTTAAAGATGGTTGTCCGAAACTAATAAACAAATCAGTGTCACAATTAATCAATTAAACTTATCAAGTATATTAATGATATAAGAGAATATTAATATTATTTTTTTAAAAAGTTATAGATTCGAGTAATTATGTTTGTTGGGTGCAAATACGGAGCTAAAATTAAATATTGGCAGAGGCCGAAATATTAGACTATTTAAGAGAAATATAATGACTTATTGATATTTAAACTCGAAATTCAGCATGAACCAAGCGACCTAGTGATTAAGGGATTATTGTTATCCTTGAGGTCCCGAGTTTGAGCACGTATGTAGGTGTATGCGCGTTCATTGTCAAATAGTTGAAAGTTTTTGTACATATATTATCTTGTATTCACCCTAAATTAAAAAAAAACTCAAAACTCAAAAGACAACTTCTAATTTGTCTAATATTTAAACTTACAATGACTTAAATTGTAATTAGACCAAAAACTTGAGAACACATTCTTATCATTATTTAGTTCGACCCTTATTTGATTTATTGAATAAATTTTTATATTTTCTAAATTTAAATATTTATTTTTACATGAACCAAAATCCTATTAAACCAAAATTATATTAAACATATAAATTTTAACAGAGGTCGGGGGCCCCTTGGGCCCTAAGAGAGCTCTGTCCCTGGTAAGGTGCATGTATATTGTCAATTAGTTAAAAAAAATTCTAAACAAATTTTACCTTATAATAACCTCAAAATTAAACATATGAACTTCTAAAAAAATTAAAAACTTTAAATATAGATAATTTTTAGAAGGTCACAGGTTCAACTTTCAAATCATCAAAAATAAAATATTTAAAGAAAAAAACCCCATAAGTTTAGTTCTTATAACCATTAAAAATATTTAATATGACTGTAATTTAAAGATTAATATAAAATATTTTAAATCTAAGAATTTATTTTATATAAACTCTATGCAATTAAATGCTAAACAAACAAAGACTTTCATATTTGGCTTTTTTTCCAAGTTGTCAATTAAAAATGAAAAGAACAACTCCGCGTTCTTAGCATAAATTGTCTCAAATATACCACTACTTTGTTACAAATTTCTTTACTATTTTGGAGCATGTCGTAATCATATTCTCTTCTTCTTTTTCGTCCAATATCTTTCGAATTAAATCATATAAATAATTAAAAATTATCTACTAAATATTATGTATTGTTACCCCAAGTATTAAAACATTGGGAAAAAATTAAAATTCCAACCAAACATAATATTTTGTTTTAATTAATCACTGGTATCCGATTTATTGACCGACTAATTCATATAGGGTATTACAGAAGCGAAGGCGACCTCCCAACTAGGGATGGTCATGGGTCGGGTTTTTGGTCCACCCAACCCCGAGAACAATGAGTCCTCCACTAGAGACCCGACCAGACCCGACCAAAACAAGTTTTCACCCGACCCGATATATAACTTAAAAACCCGACCCAACCCGACCCTAAATAATAATAAAAATTATTTTTATTCAATAAAAATAATGACTTAATTGAAAAAAATAATATATAGAGGGGTATTATTGTAATTATTCCTAAATATATAAGGTAAAATTATATATATTTTTGGGTCGGGTCGGGTTTTTTTCACCCTAAACCTGAACCCGATCCGACCCGAACATCACATTTAAAAAACCCCGACACGACCCAACCCTGAATTTTTCCTTAAAAAATCCAACCCGATCGGGGAAAACCGAAAGCCAAATTAAACGGGGACGAAGAAAAACTGTTTATGCTAAACGGGGATGGGGACGGGTTTGATAATCCCCGCCCCGATTACCCGGCCCGATACCTGGCCCGATAAATATTAAAAATAATTATTATATATATATATAATATTAATAAATTTAATTTAAATTAAAATATATACATAATATTTATATATTTAATTTAAATATATATATACCCGGCCCAATACCCGTTTAAATAACCGTTTATGCTAAACGGAGATACCCGTTTCCCCGCGGTTTTCACCGATTACCCGATGGGGATCCCCGTTTAAATCCCTGCGGTTTTTTAAGTGGGGATATGTACGAGTTTTTTAAACGGGGATGGGGACGGGAGGACCAATACACGGCCCGAACCCGGCCCGTTGCCATCCCTACTCCCAACCCAGTTTGCTCCATTTGCAAATACTATGATTCGAACCCCTGAACTTGCTTAAATGACCTAACCATAATATTAACATAACCGAACTGATACTCAAAGTATATTTCACTAAAACCCACACACGATCGATCAAAATAAATATAAAATTAAAAATATTTAATATTATGAAAATCAACTTCAAGTCTCAAAATTCTAATTCCTTAAATCTTGTTATCAAACCTAGATTTTGTTGGTCGTGGTTATTTTTTAACATTAATTTACTTTCAAATTTTGTATTCTGTTTGGATTATATCATTGTTGATTAAACTTAAATGTGTGATTTATCCAATTGGTTTTTTAAAATCCAACTATAAATGTTATATTTTCACGAATTTAATTTATTTTAGTGCAATTTCCCAGAATTTGGCTGCTAGCACTGGGAAAGATGGAATCTCACATGTAATACAACTTTTCCTGGAAAAAAAATTCTACTGATTAGCACAGAAAACACGGTTTCCCTTTTCCACCTAAGTCGTGATTAAACAATACATTTCATTTCATATAGATGCTTTTAATAAATTATATATTTTTTAAAAATGTTATTTTAATAATAATTATGGTTGGTTGTATATATCGAACCGAACCGAATTATTAAAAATTTATTTTGAGTTTGACTTGAGTTAAAATTATTAGATTAATAATAGAATACGTGTGGGAAAAACTAAATAAAGAAAGATTAATAGGGCTATTTATAATTATACGAACCAATGTCATATTCATATGTATCGAACCATAATTACGATGCATATTTCTACGTAGACTGGTGGACTGAATATAAGGGCGGGCCATAATTATGGAATTAACTTGGTCGGTCTTTGCATTAAGGACTTGGTGAACAATGACCCTTGATTTTGAACCTTGGAAATTGGCCATTATATAATTTTCCATTCGGTGTAAATACAAAGAAATTTTATGTTTTCTTGTTTTTCTATGACACATCACGACTTTAGATTGTGTCACATGATATTTTATCTCTTAAAATTTATAAATTGTATCAATTTTATTCTTTTTATTAGTAAAAAGTATGTTGATTGGAAAAATATATACGTTGATTGTTATAATAGGATAAGCTATGAATTTAGTACTTAACTATCAATTTTGATCTGTTTTAATATTTAAACTTTCAGTTTTTTAAAATCACGTCTAAAGTTTAGTTTTTGTTTCATTTTAATACATCGCCGTTAAGTTTTGAAAAAAAATGAAAGTCTAGGTACCAAAACACGTTTAGTGCCTAAATCATATTTAAGTTTTGTAAAAAATAAAAAATTAGGTACTAAAACGGATCAAAACTGATAGTTTAGGTACTTAACGCGTGAAGTTTTTAACAACGAGTTATTAAAATGAAACAAAAAAGTAAACTTTAGGTATGATTTTGAAAAAAATGAAGGTTTATGTATTAAAACGGATCAAAATTGATACTTTATGTACTAAATACGTAATTTACCAGTTATAATATTGATGTGATTATTCATCATGTAGTTGTGCCGGTCCATGTTTTTCAATATGCTCTTGAATTTATTAAAAATATTAATTAAATTTTTCTATCACGTTATCTTCACATGAATCGTCATGTCACCATTGATGACTATCACACCAATATCGTAAATTGTTATATTAACATTATAAACTATTACACCAACATTACAACGATCAAAATGGTTTTTATTAATCAAAATACATTAATTTAACTCAAACAATTTAAAAATTAAATTAATGAAATTAAAAATGATGAACAATATTATTAAATTTTACTTACTATAAGAACAAAATTACTCTTTAAGCCTTTTCTAAACTATAAAGGAGCAAGATCCATGGTACTTACAAGTAAGTATTATTGTGGTAATTAGTCGTAAATTTTGTTAATTTTAATTTATTATATTTTCTTTGCTCTATATAAAGGGTAAGCTCCTTGTTTAAACCAGTTTATACCCATAAAGAATTAAAGAGGTAATTCTACGATATAGTTTCTCTAACATGCCTCTATCTGAAATGGTAAAATTCTTTTATAGGTCCCTGTACTATAATGTATAGTGCGTTTTAATCCTTATATTTTTAAAACGAAAAAAATATCCAATAGAAAAATTAATGTCTAGCACATGTAGCATAAACTATTACCATAAAATCTGAGATTATCCCGACACATAAATAAATGAATTAAACATTTGGATTATTTTATTCATATTTTTTTATTGAAAATCTGTTACAAATCATGAAAACAAATATTTATAGCATACCCATAGCGAAATGCTTGCAATTATTTAGATATTATTCAAACCATGCATAGGAACGTAAATATTTTCTTTCTCCTTTTGTTTATCTTGTCATTACCAAGTCCCATAATCACAAGGAGAGCAATTTTCCTGTGCAATGTCAGTGATTTGAACTCCGGTATCATAAACAACTCCAGTTTTCCAGTCAGCTGGAAGCACATACTTTGCCAAAATCCACCTGCTTCCATACCCAGAAATGACCTTGAATCTGAATTGCAACGCACCATTTGGGAATCTGTTTGTATCCCAAACTGCCCCATAGTTCCTATTCATGGAGTTCCAGCTCGAAGAAGACCCGACCCGAGCTACATCAATGGCCACAACCTCTGTCTGGCCGCCTTGGTACAGCAGTTTAAGTTGCAGGTAATATGGTTTCTGGCTTGATTCTTCAACCCTAACGGCTAAGTTCTGGTTTTTGTATTCACAAGGTATCCTTTTGTATTCCACGTCCACAATCCCAGCTTTCAGAATGTCTTGAGCCTTTCCCTTGCTCGCCATGGCCATGAAAGCTTTGCTGCTAAGAACAAAGTCGGTTCGGTTATCGTAGTTGCGGTCAGTTAGTGTCACCTTAGTTCCTTTACCGCTGCACAGGTTTGGATTGTTACATCTTATCTGCAAAAGAAACATGTTAAAAACATTCAAAACTCTGATTTCCACTATAATAATTAAGAACCAATGAAAATCAAAACTAATACAAACCTGAAAGCAGGCACCACAACCAGCTCCGTTTTTGAAGAGAGGAGAACCACTACCTGCGAGGAATCCATTGCCAAGGCTTAGTGCCAAGGATCCATATCCGCAAGCTCCAGCTGCACATATCAAATCCACAAAACAAGTGTTACCCACCAAAATTTTCAGAAAACTATGATCTGGGTATTATTAACGAAGACTGAAGGCTAATTACATGAAAGTGCCTCGACTGAGGTGACAAAAGTAGCCTTGGATTGATGCACGCATCGATCACAAGCAGTGGCAGAACCAAGGAGAAGGAACAGAAACCAAACAAAGTGAGCCATTTTTTTGTTGTTTTTGTGGAATTGAGAAATGTTGAGTGATTAAAGAAAGATAGGGTTTGTGGGTTTATATATACATGAAGATTAGTATGGACAACTGTTAAGCATTTCTGGAAAACCATGGATTGACAATATGAAGTAAACATGAAGATTTCGATTTTCAGGAGGAACAACTCCCGGCTATGGCAGTATTGGTTGTTATGGTCAAATCCCATGATTCAATGCCATAAATTTTAATGGAAACTTTGAACTTGTTAGCAACCAGGGACTGTTTCTGCATCAAGTTTCAGTCAGCCCGATAAAAGAACAAATGGTGTGCCCACGTCAGAATCCGTTGACCCAAGTTTTGATGCAGAAACTTGATTAATTTGACTTTATCAAAACAAATGACTCTTAAAAGTGCCCCTATACCTTTTCGAAATTGAATCCTTTGCAGATGCTTTACTCAAAACTATAGGGACTAAATTTAAATATTTAAAAATAAATGGGGTTGTGGCATATTTAAACCGTTTTAAAACTGAGTATTGTTGAATATGTAAGCGAAAGTTTTGGCACTTCTAAGCGTCATTTGTTTTAAAACAGTCCCTGGTTGCTAACATGTTCAAAGTTTTATGGTAATGAATCTGGGATTTGACCATAACAACCAATTCTGCCGAAGCCGGAAGTTGTTTCTCTCGAAATCTTAATGTTTACTCCATCATATTCTCAATCCATGGTTTTCCAGAAATGCTTAACAGTTGTCCATACTAATCTTCATGTATATATAAACCCACAAACCGTATCTCTCTTTGCTATATTCACTTAACAATTCTCAACTCTACAAAAACAACAACAAAAAAATGGCTTACTTTGTTTGGTTACTGTTCCTTCTCCTTTCTTCTGCCACAGCTTGTGATCGATGCGTGCATCAATCCAAGGCTACTTTTGTCTCCTCGATCGAGGCACTTTCATGTAATTAGCTTTCCTGATTCAATCTTCATTAATACCCAGATCATAGATAGTTTTCTGAAATATTTGGTGAGTAACACTTGTTTTGTGGATTTTTATGTGCAGCTGGAGCTTGCGGATATGGATCCTTGGCACTAAGCCTCGGCAATGGATTCCTCGCAGGTAGTGGTTCTCCTCTCTTCAAATATGGAGTTGGTTGTGGTTCCTGCTTTCAGGTTTGTATTAGCTTTGATTTTCATATGTTCTTAATTATTGTAGTGGAAATCAGAGTTTTGAATGTTTTTAACATGTTTCTTTTGCAGATAAGATGTAAGAATCCAAACCTGTGCAGCGGTAAAGGAACTAAGGTGACACTAACTGACCGCAACTACGATAACCGAACCGACTTTGTTCTTAGCAGCAAAGCTTTCATGGCCATGGCGAACAAGGGAAAGGCTCAAGACATTCTGAAAGCTGGGATTGTGAACGTCGAATACAAAAGGATACCTTGTGAATACAAAAACCAGAACTTAGCCGTTAGGGTTGAAGAATCAAGCCAGAAACCATATTACCTGCAACTTAAACTGCTGTACCAAGGCGGCCAGACAGAGGTTGTGGCCATTGATGTAGCTCGGGTCGGGTCTTCTTCGAGCTGGAACTCCATGAATAGGAACTATGGGGCAGTTTGGGATACAAACAGATTCCCAAATGGTGCGTTGCAATTCAGATTCAAGGTCATTTCTGGGTATGGAAGCAGGTGGATTTTGGCAAAGTATGTGCTTCCAGCTGACTGGAAAACTGGAGTTGTTTATGATACCGGAGTTCAAATCACTGACATTGCACAGGAAAATTGCTCTCCTTGTGATTATGGGACTTGGTAATGACAAGATAAACAAAAGGAGAAAGAAAATATTTACGTTCCTATGCATGGTTTGAATAATATCTAAATAATTGCAAGCATTTCGCTATGGGTATGCTATAAATATTTGTTTTCATGATTTGTAACAGATTTTCAATAAAAAAATATGAATAAAATAATCCAAATGTTTAATTCATTTATTTATGTGTCGGGATAATCTCAGATTTTATGGTAATAGTTTATGCGACATGTGCTAGGCATTTGTCACTTTACTAAGAAATGTTTCTGCCTTGCTAACTCGCTGCATTTATCACCTTACAAACTCCAAGCATTTGTCGCAGCTTCTGAAATGTTGCAAGCTTGAGGTCCTTTGTAAATATATTTGCGATTTGATCCTCACTTCTGAAATATACCATATCAATATCTTCATAATTCACACGATCTCTCAAGAAATGATATCGGACGTCAATATGCTTGCTTCGCCCGTGCAAAATAGGATTCTTAGATAGTTTTATGGCTGAACTATTGTCACAGTAGATAATAGTAGGCCTCTTTTGCTTGAAATGAACATCCTCAAGAAGCTTTCTCATCCAAATGGCTTGACATACACATGCTGATGCAGCTACAAGTTTCTCTTCGATCGTTGATAGAGTGACAATCGGTTGCTTTAATGACGACCATGAAACAACTCCTGACCCTAACATAAAAACGTAACCAGATGTACTTTTTATATCATCTTGGTCTCCTGCATAGTCACTATCCGTAAACCTAATGAAGTCTGATTTTTCTCCCTTCTTGTACAAAATTTCATAGTCGATTGTACCTTGCAAATATCTAAGGATTCTTTTTGCTACTTGAAGATGCATTTCCTTTGGACGTTCCATGAATTTGCAAATAACATTTACAACATATGTTATATCTGGCCTGGTCGTAGTGAGATACATCAAACTCCCCACGATTTGCTTGTACAAAGTATTGTCGAAAGCTCTTCCATTATCATCTTTGACCAACTTTAAACTTGTCTCTGCTTGTGTACCAACCGGATTGCAGTCCGCCATTTGAAAATTCTTTAGAATCTCCTGCACATATTTCCTTTGAGAAATAAAAATGCATGTATCTGATTGTACAACCTCTACACCCATAAAATAATGCATTCTTCCAAGATCTGACATGTTAAATTCAGTCATCATGGATTTTTTAAATTTATCAAACATCGTCTGATCATTCCCGGTAAATAACAAATCATCAACATACAAGCAGACCATCAATAATTTTTCACCATTTTCCTTTTTCACAAAAAAGGTATGCTCATAAGGGCACTTCTGAAAACCATTTTGGAGAAAATAAGCTTCGATACGACTATACCAAGCTCGAGGGGCTTGTTTAAGTTCGTACAAAGCCTTTTTTAGTTTATACACTTTATGCTCTTCTCCAAACTTAATATAGCCAGGAGGTTGGTTAACAAATACCCGTTCACTCAAGTCTCCATGCAAAAATGCCGACTTGATGTCTAGTTGAAAAATTGGCCAAGAATTTTGAGCAGCCAATGCAATCACCAATCTGATTGTGTCATGCCTAGCAAGTGGAGTGAACACCTCCTTGTAATTAATGCAGAACTCTTGACTATAACCTTTCACTACCAAGCATGCTTTGCATTTGTCAACTTCAACTGTTTCCTTCAGTTTCGTCTTATAGACCCACTTCACATCAATGGTTTTATGTCCATTTGGAAGCTCAGTTAACTCCCATGTTTTTTTCCTTTCAATGGCTGCAATTTCATCATCCATTGTTTTCTTCCATTTTGATTGTTTAATCGCCTCTTCAAAAAAGACAGGATCATAATATGAAAAAATAGCAAAATAAGTGAATGAGTTCTCAGATTGATCAATTCCTGGAACTTCATAATCTCTCATCCAGGCATGCCTTCTTCTTATACGTGGTGTTGTTGACTCTGTTGCAACTTCAGGTGAGTTTTGAATTGTTTCTTGTTACTCATTAGGTGGCTGCGAGTATCTTCAACGTGTAACTCTCCATCAAAATTTGTTGGAATATTCCTTTGCATTAATGGTGTTTCCCAACACAAAACTATGCTTCATCAAAAATCACATAACGACTGATGACAATTTTCTTAGTGCTAGGATTATACAACTTGAATGCTTTAGTACATTCACTAACACCAAGAAAGATGCATTTTTCTCCTTTGTCTTCTAACTTCTTTCTTTTTTTATCAGGGACATGTGCATAAGCAATACACCTAAAGATTCTGAAATGGCTACCATCGGGTCTCCTTCCGCTCCATGCTTCTTCTGGTGTCATATTTCGCACAACAAAAGTTGGACTCCTATTTAGAATGTGAATGCTCCAGTTGACAGCTTCTGGCCAAAACGTCTTAGGAACTTTACTTCGTTGCAATAAACTTCGCACCATGTTGAAAATGGTTCGATTCTTTCTTTCAGATACACCATTCTACTGAGGTGCGTAGGCTGCTGTTAATTTCCTTTTAGTTTCATGCTCTTCACAAAATCGAGTGAAATCATGTGAATTATATTCTACTCCGCAACCAGTCCGCGACACTTGTATAGAATGCCCTGCTTATTTCTCAACTACTGTTTTAAATCTTTTGAAAGCAGTTAAAGCTTTAGATTTTTCCTGTAAAAATCCAACCCAGATTTTTTGACTCAAATCATTTATAAAGGTGATAAGATAGCGTTTACCTCCATTAGAAATGGGATTAATTGGCCCACAAATATCAGAGTGCACTATCTCCAATAGGTTTCTTGCTCTTTCAGATTTTCCTTTTGGAAATGGTTATCGGTGCTGCTTACTAAACACACATTCCTCGCAAACATTTGCAGGACAAGAGAACTATGTGAGGCCAACTACCATGTTTTTCTATTTAAGAGTTTGTAAGCCTCCAAAATCGAGATGATCGTAACGAAAATGCCATAGTTGCATTTGATCAGACAAACTTGTTGCAAAACAAGACTGAGTAGAATAATTGAGGTAGAGAGGAAACATTCGATTTGCTGTCATAGTTACTTGAGTAATTAATCCTGGTTTTCCATCCTGAACTTGACACATCCCATTTTTAATTTTGATCTCGTAACCCTTCTCTTGCAATTGACCAATACTTAACAAATTGGTCTTTAAATCTGGGACATAAAGGACATCATGCATAGTTTGAGTAACATTAAATTTATTTAGAATTGTTACATGTCATTTTCCCATCACAGAGATCTTAGCTTCACATTATCTCTGAATGATTCATCAAGAGTCAAAAAAATTCTCTTATCTCCACTCATGTGATTGCTGCATCTGGTGTCTAAATACCACAAATGCTTGTTGGTAGGTTTTTTTGCCCGACATACCATTAACAACGATATATCTTCATCTTGCTCTCATTCCTTTCCAATAAAATTGGATTCTTCCCCATGTGTATCTGAGAAAGTGGTTCGACACTCCGATTTGTAATGACCATACTTGTGACAGCGATAGCATTCAACATTTGATTTGTCTGCTGGCTGTGTTTGATAACTGCCATGTCTTTTTAATCTTTCATGAGATTGGTTTCCTGAATTCTGTTAATGACCATAGTTTCCTCTACCGCGACCTATGTTGCGACCTCTGTCATTGTGGCCATTTGATTTTCGTCTTCCATTGCCTTTAATCGAATGATCTGACGAAACTTTCAATGCTAATTCTACATTATCTTGCTGCTCCAATTTTCTTTCATGAACCAACAATGAAACTTGCAATTCATCAATAGACAAAATATCAAGATCTTTTGACTCCTCAATGGAGCATACCATGTAATTGAACTTTGGTTTCAATGAGAGGATACTTTTTTCGACTACAACCACATCCTCTATTTTCTCGTCAAATGTTCTCATCTTACTGATGATAACCATCGTCCTTGAGAAGAAGTCCAGAATGGTCTCCCCAGATTGCATTCGATGAAGTTCAAACTCTGAGCGAAGTGCCTGAAGCTGCTGACTCCTTGCTCTGGTTGCTCCCTGGAATTTCTTTTTCATCGAATCCCAAATATCCTTTGACGTATCTTTGCAAAGGATAGTTTCCAATGTTGAACGATCAATCGCTTGAAAGAGATAATTCTTTGCCTTAAGATCTTTCAATTTCAAAGTGTCAATTTCTAGTCGTTGTGCATCCGTTGCTGATGTGCCCGACTCCGATATTCCCTTAGAGACGGCTTGCCAATACTCCTTGGATCTGAGAAAATTTTCCATCAACATGCTCCAATGATCGTAGTGACCATCAAAGCAAGGAATTGATGGTTGTACAAAACTATCAGAGGTCATTTTGTTAAATAAAAGAGGGGAAAAAAGAAATGATGTTTTATCGCTAATTAAACCTGGCTCTGATACTACTGTTGTGGGAGTAGCAGATTAAAGTAAATGAGATAATTTAGAAGGAATATGTCATATTATTCATTGGTGAAAAACAACCTCTTTAAATATGCTATACAACTAACAAAACAAGCAAAAAATATACAACTTACTCCTAAAATCATGGAAAGCATAACAACTTAAAATAACAACTCCCTATAGACTAGGTCCATAATAAATACTGAAAAGTCTAACATAATATGTATTTACATAAAAAAAAATTAAAAATGAAAATATAATTATGATTAGATTTCGTCATTAGTCTATACAATATGTATAGTTGTGAATTTAGTCAATGTACTTAATTTGATTAACTTTCATCTATTTATAATTTTAATTTTAATTTCGACTCAAATAATAAAAGTATAATCATTGTAGATCATAAAGACTTAGAATAATTATGTTGAAGAATATTAACTAATGTAATATCGGGACTATAGAATAATTTGATTTGGTAGATTTAATAAATATTTACTAAGCCATGATTGTAATTTTAAATTTTAAAAAGTGTAAATATGAAAAATTACTAATTTAGGGTATAAGAATTGATCCATAACTTAGTAGTACAAGGGCTAAAAGAAATGCAAGTTAACATTTTTATAAAAAGATTGAGAATCAAATTTAACTAAAAAAGAAGGGAAAATTATTTTAATAAAAATATAAACATTGAAATTCAAATTTATTGTTATTTTATCTCTTAATTTTTTTATTAAATTAATTTAAATGTGACAAAACAATAAAGACGCATTTAAATTAACGTCGATTATTTTATCCTTTTTATCATATCATCAAAATTTTTAAAAATAATTTTTTAACTAATTTATCAAATGATCAAAAGAGATATTTATAACATTTTATTCAAACTCGAAAAGTAAATAAATATTTTTTTAGCATGTTATTATCTGTATTTTTTTTCAAACCACACAAAAGTAAATGTCTTTGCACAAATTATTATTCAAACTGTGTCCACGAACATGAATATTTTATTCCCCAAACCATTATTCAAACTATGTGTAGTATTTCCTTCTTCTTCTTCTCATCACCAAGTCCCATAATCACAAGGATAGCAGCTTTCTTGTGCAATGTCGGTGATTTGAACTCCAGTATCATAAATCTCTCCAGCTTTCCACTCATCCGGAAGCACATTCTTTGTTGCCCAAATCCACTTTCCATCATGCCCGGATGTTACCAGAAACCTGAAGGTTAAGGCACCATTTGGGATTCTGTTTGTGTCCCAAACTGCCCCATAGTTCCTACTCATGGAGGTCCAGATTGAAGACCCAACCTGCAAATCATAATTAACATTAAAAAGGTGAGTATTAAACGCTAAGGCCTTAAATGAGTTGAATCGAGTTTGAGTATTGTTGAGCTAACTTGAGCTACATCAATGGCTACAATCTCAGTCTGACCGCCTTGATAGAGCAATTTAATCTGCAAGTAGTATGGTCTTTGGCTTGATTCTTCAACTCTAACGGCCAAGTTCTGTCCTTCGTATACACAAGGTATCCTTTTATATTCGATGTCGACGATCCCGAGTTTGTAAATGTCTCGGGCCATGCCGTCGTGAGCCATGTCCAACAAAGCGAAGAAGCCGAGAACAAAGTCCGTCCGATTATCGTAGTTCCGATCAGTTAATGTGACATTAGCCCCTGTACTGGTGCACAGTTTTGGATCCTTACATCTTATCTGCAAAAACACATGAAATGAACAATGAAGAGACTATAAGAAACGTTAAAAAGAAATCAAAAGTGGAAATACTGTAATACAAATGACCTGAAAGCAAGCGCCACAACCAGCTCCGTTTTTGTAAAGAGGGGAACCACTGCCTGCAAGGTTTCCACCATTAAGGCTTATTGCGAAGGAACCATATCCACAAGCTCCAGCTGCAAATGTCGAACCAAGAAAACAAATTTTACCCACCAAATTTTGAAGTAAACTATGATCTGGGTCTTAGCCAGGTTCTATTTTCAAGATGGAAAAAATGAAGATGGAAGTTGGAAGATGATTACATGTGAGTGCCGCGACTGACTTGACAAAAGTAGCTTTGGATTGATGCACGCATCGATCACAAGCAGTAGCAGAAGACAGGAGAAGGAAAAGCAACCAAACAAAGGGAGCCATTTGGTTTTTTTTTTTGAGTTGAGAAATGTAAGTTATTAGTAGCAAAGAGAGAGAGGGTTTCTGGGTTTATTTATAGTGTGGCATGCATGCAGATTGGTATCGACAACAGTTCACCATTTCCAGAAAACCATGGATTGGTTTTTTTTAATAAAAAAAACCCCCTTTTCTTACGTGGGTCAACGGATTCTGACGTGGACACGCCATTTATACTTTTATCCAGCTGCTTGAAACTTGCTGCTTTATCCCTGGTACCTTTATGGGTCACAATCAAGCAGAAACTGTCCCTTGTCTGGTTCCTAACAATAGAGCAATGCATCTGGGATTTGACCATACCAACCAATACTCCATAGCCAGAAGTTGTCGAACACTTCGTTTTGGCTTTGGTATTCATCTATAAAAAGAATATAAAAATTACCTGTACAGTCGTTCTTCCTGCCAATTGATCATATACAATGTCATTTTTGTCGTCCTTCAAGACCGTGTTTAGAAGCATTTCAGCTTGCTTTTCTAGAGCGCTAGGAAGGTTATGGGTCTCCTCCCGCGTAACATTTTATGTTAAAGTGAATTTAAAAAAAATTAAGATAAAATTAAAAAAAATAGAAAAATAAAATATTTAAAATATTCAGGAAACGTGGTACTCGGTCCGTCCTTGCTCTCACCTGATTCAGCAAAACTCGGCTTGCCACCACCGCCTCCTCCTAGGGGTCTGTAAACTTCCGTGCCTGTACACGCAGATCAACCACTGCTGGAGTGAAAGCTGCAACCAAACTAACTTAACCTTCATCTGGACAGGATCCCAAGATTACAGCTGCAGGATCTTGCAGTGTATCGATTAAATGCTCGGCGGCAACTTTTAGCGAACCGGCACGCATAACATCAGTTTTTAAACTTATCTGTCAAGTCATTAAATAACCTAATAATGTGTCACGATCTCATAACTTCAAGTGCTAATCTAATTTGTCTAAATTTAATGATAACCATCGACCAGTTAAACGTCTTTGTTTCAAACCGCTAACGTTGTAACCTAGCCACAACAATTCTGCAAGACATCACCATTTCTTTCCATGCTATAAAACACATTGCCATGTATAATGAATTTCATCAAACAAGGAAAAAACGATGATGAAGAAGAAGAAATTAACAAAGATGTCGCCGGGATTTCAATCCTTCTTGTGGCGGCAGTCGTCATCTGTGTTGTTTCTACGACTAGTAGCGGTCACGATAACAACACATTGACCCTAGAAATGAAAGCAGCGTCTAAATTTTGTTCATCGACTGAATACCAAGAATCTTGCTTTGACACCCTCAGCTCTGCTAATAACGATGATCCTAAAGTGCTCGTTGCCAAGGCTATCTTGGCAGCCAAGGAAGCAGTCAAGAAGTTCTTAAGCTACTTGGAGCCATTGATTGTTGAGGCCAAGAACAACAGTCTCACACATATGGCGTTGGAGGATTGTAAGAATATGATGAAGTACGCCGCTGATTCACTTTGGGCATCGTACTTCGACATTCGTGATGGCAACATGTCTGACATTAGTGACCGTATAAATGATCTGAGAACCTGGTTGAGCGCCGTTTTATCGTACCAACAATGGTGTTTGGATGGTTTTGAACACGATCGCGGCATGAAAGAAATTGTGCAGAAGGGTATTGTTGATGCTAGGGAACTCACATGCAACGCCTTGACTATTGTAACAAATTTGTTGTACATTCTTTCCAAATTCGATATTAAGTTGCTTAATCCCAACGGCCGTGAACTGCTTTCCGTCGAGAAAAATGGTTATCCGTCATGATTCTTGGTTAAAGACCAACATCTTTTGGCTAGGATTCATAACAGCAAGTCGATACCCGATGCTGTTGTAGCACAAGATGGAAGAGGCCAATTCAAGACCATTGATGCAGCCTTGGCTGCCGCTCCTAAAAGATCCAATGTCCGACATGTGATCTACATCAAGGCTGGAATCTGTGAGGAGCATATCACGGTGGAAACACAATACACCAATATACTAATGTATGGTGATGGTCCGAAGAAAAACAATCGTCACCGGTCACAAGGGTGTAAAAGATGGTGACGGAATTAAGACGTGGCGGTCCGCCACTTTCGGTATGTTTCTAAGATCGAAATCGGATCATTCTCTGTTTTTTTTTTCTTCTCAGTTAGGATAATTATATGATTAATGTTGCAGCTGCTATTGGAAACGGATTCATTGCCAAATCTATGGGATTCCAGAGCACTGCAGGCCCTGCAAAGCACCAGGCTGTTGCTTTTCGTGTTCAATCGGATAAGTCGTCCTTCTTCATTTATAGGATGGATGGCTACCAAGACACATTGTACAATCAAGCAAATCGTCAGTTTTTTCTCAATTGTGTCATATCTGGAACTATTGACTTCATCATCGGTGACTCTGCTACCATTATCCAGAACTCATTGATCATTATGAAGAGAGCAATGAATAATAAGTTCAACACCGTGACAGCACAGGGCAAGGACTACATCGACGAGAACACCAGAATCATAATCCAAAACTGCAGGATTGTTCCCGAGAAGAAGCTCTTCCACGACAGGTTCAGAATCGCAACATACTTGGGCAGGCCATGGAAGAAATTCTTTACAACAGTTATCATGGAGTCCGCATTAGGAGACTTCATTAGGCCTGAAGGATGGATGTGGTTCGATCAATCTGACAAAGTCAAGTACAAAGAGACAGTCTACTATGGTGAGTACAACAACAGTGGCCCTGGTGCTGACCTCAATGCGAGGGTTAAATGGAAGGGCTACCACAGAATGAACTGATCGACTGCCATTGATTTCACTGTCCGATCATTCCTTTTGAGCAAAAAGAACTGGTCGCCTTTGACCGGCATTCCTTTCACTAGTAGATTAAGACATTAAAGAACTTGTAGTCCAATAGATTAAATAAGAGAAATCAGCTATAGAAGAAATCAATTCAGTTAAGATGTCTACTTTATCTTTTCAGTAACAATCTCTTCCATGAAATAAAGGCTATTGTTAAAGTTAATGTTCCGAATTTCGTTTTAATCTGGCACGACATGAACCATTGAAAGTTTATCGCTGTATCACCCGCGGCATTGAAGTATAATGCTCCCATATCAACCCCACAATTCAAAATCTTCATTAGTACAGAAAGTAAGATAATCTACTCTTAACAATTTTTTTTTGGAGCCGTTAACAGACAGATGAATGTAAAGTAGATTGTGATTGGTAATTTGTTGGTTTTTTTCTACATCATCTTTGATTTCAATATGGTTAGTAATTAATATATGGTTGCATGTTATGAAACTTGATAATGACAGCAGTAGAACTGATGTTGTACATTGACCATAGCTGTAGATTATCTCTATCGGCTCTAGTCAAGTCCGGCGGCTAATATATGTCTTTAGAAGTCACCGAGAGACATTAATGAAAGAGGAAAAATCTCAACAGCTACTCTCATTCTCGGTTCACATTAGAGGAATATCCTCGACCAGTGACCAGTTTATGATTATGCGTTTACTCGAGGAGTTTCCTCGAATTTGCAGACTTCCACAATCACTGGCCTACTGAAAAGGAAATAAAGGAGAGGAAAATTATTTGTTAGAACAGCAGGAATGACTCGGTTATGGTGCATCTAACTAATGCAGGGGGTCCATGTAAATTGTTTGCCACATGACTTTCAAAGTTGGAAAAGTTGAACCAATTAACTACTTATTTGCACCCTAGTTCTTGTTGATGAACAAAGCACTCTCAAATACAAATCAATCTCATCTATTAAGATTTAAGAAATCTATTCCGGAGCCATCACATATGGAAGCATCCGGTCTTCTTTTCCTTGTTTACATTGAAGTTATAATTCTTCTCTCATGTTTCAACTTGCATGGCTTGGCAACCGGAAATGAGACTGATCAACAATCTTTACTTCAATTCAAAGCCAAGATAACTGATCAGCTCAAAGTTATGGAGTCTTGGAATAGTTCCATTCACTTCTGTCAGTGGCCTGGTGTTACATGCAGTCACAAACATCATAGAGTCACCAAATTGGAACTGGAATCCCTCAAACTCTCGGGATCTTTATCACCATACATTGGAAATTTGAGTTTTCTCAAGGAGTTGAAGCTTGCAGACAACAGCTTTTACAACCAAATTCCTCAAGAAATTGGTCGTTTAAGAAGACTGGAAACAATACAACTTACTAACAACTCCATCAGTGGTGAAATTCCTTCCAATTTATCTGCTTGTTCTAAGCTTACAATATTTCGTATGAGAGGCAACCTTCTAACAGGAGAAATACCTGCTTTTCTGGGTCACTTGTCAAACCTGAAAGTCTTTTAATTTTGCCAACAACAGTTTGATGGGGAGTATCCCACCTTCCTTGGGGAACTTGTCATCGCTGGAGGAACTTTCTTTCATGATGAATGGATTATCTGGGATCATACCTGAAGCTCTTGGACAACTGAAAAATCTTTCATATTTCTCGGTTGGAGGAAACAATATATCTGGTTTTGTTCTATCACAATGTTCAATCTCTCTAATATTAGAGTCTTTGATGTTGGTGAAAACAAGATTCAAGGTACTCTTCATTCCGACTTAGAAATCAATATGCCATATCTTGAGTTCTTTTCCATATCAGTGAACTTAATCTCTGGAAAAATCCCGATTTCGTTAAGCAATGCCTCAAATTTGAATGTACTTAGTGGGAATGTTCCTTCGTTTGAAAAGCTGGAAAAGCTGTCTATATTCTTCCTTGATAGAAACCATTTGGGGCACGGGAGAGAAGGTGACTTGCACTTTATCTGCACTTTGGTCAATAATACCAAACTAGAAAGTCTAAATATAGGTGAAAACAGTTTCGGTGGGTCATTTCCTGAATGCATCAGTAATTTTTCTAACACCCTTTCACGTTTGGTAATAGAAGATAACAAAATATGGGGAAGAATTCCGGATGGAATTGTAAACCTCATGAGTTTGGAGGTACTAGGGGCATCACAGAATCAACTATCAGGTCCCATTCCATTTGATATTGGGAGGCTAAAGAATATGAAACTATTTTTCACTCGTAGTAATTTTCTTTCTGGATCTATACCTGGTTCCATTGGAAATTTAACAGGATTGATTCAACTTGGTTTAGGTCTTAACAACCTTCAGGGCAACATTCCTTGGAGCCTAGGTGAGTGTCAAAATTTGCTCGGAATAGATCTTTCTCATAACAATCTTAGTGGACCTATCCCCACTCAAGTACTTGGACTCTCATCCTTGTCCCTTGGACTAGACTTGTCATCAAATTATTTGACTGGTGAACTTCCTGCTGAAGTAGGAAATCTAAAAAATGTAGGTAAACTCTATGTTTATCGAAATAGGTTATCTGGTTTGCTTCCAAGCAACCTTGCTAGCTGTGTAAGTCTAGAGAAGCTGCTCTTGAATGGCAATTTGTTTGAAGGGTCCGTTCCTTTATCTTTGAGTTCATTAAGAGGTCTTGTGGCATTGGATATATCAGACAATAATCTTTCAGGTCGGATTCCAGAATTTCTTGTGAACTTTAGAGAATTGAAGTACTTGAATCTCTCTTTCAATGATTTTGAGGGAGCGATGCCAAGTGAAGGAGTGTTTAAGAATGCAAGTGCTACATTCGTTGCGGGGAATAATAAGCTTTGTGGAGGCATCCCAGAGTTGCACCTATCAAGATGTAACCTGAAAACATCATCAAACAGTTCTGTCAGATTAAAAATTGCAATTGTTGTTGTGATTCTAGGAGTGACTTTGGTATCCTCTTTCCTCATGATCTTGTGGTTTAGAAGGAAGAAGGGGCTGCAGCGAACAATGGCTTGTGAAGAAACTTCGCTTTTACAGTTATCATACCAAAGCATTGTAAGGGCTACTGATGGATTCTCCATGCAAAATTTGATTGGCTCGGGAAGTTTTGGTTCTGTATACAAAGGAATCCTTGAAGTAAATGGAGCAACTATTGCAGTAAAGGTGTTGGATCTTCTGAATCCTGGAGCATCCAGGAGTTTCTTAGCTGAATGTGAGGCCTTGAAGAACATCCGACATCGAAATCTTGTCAAGGTATTAACAGCCATTTCCGGTGTAGATTATCAAGGCAATGATTTTAAAGCCTTGGTTTATGAGTTCATGACAAACGGAAGCTTGGAGGACTGGCTGTATCCTTCTGTCCACATGATGAATGAGCAGGATACAATGAAGAGCTTGAACTTTTTCCAAAGAGTTAATGTGGCCATTGATGTTGCTCATGCACTGGAGTATCTTCACCATCGTTGCGGAACATTGATAATTCATTGCGATCTCAAACCAAGCAATATTCTACTCGACGAGGAAATGGTTGGCTATATAAGTGATTTCGGTTTAGCAAAAATCCTTTCTGCAGATAAGCATAACTCTTCAAATAATTGGTCAAGCTCCATTGGCTTTAGAGGAACAATTGGTTATGCTCCACCAGGTAAGTCCACCTTATTCATTCCTTCCATAATTTAAAACCAATCACTTCTATATGTAATTTGTGATGTATAAATTGAAGAATATGGCATGGGAAGCAATCTGTCAACAAAAGGAGATGTGTATAGTTATGGCATCCTCGTGCTAGAGATGTTTACGGGAAAAAGACCGACCGATGAAACGTTCAAAGAAGATTCAAACCTTCATAATTTTGTCAAGGCAGCTTTTCCAGAACGAGTAGCTGAGATTACAGATCCCATTCTTGTTCAGGAAAGAGTCGAACATCTTCGATGCTTGAATTCGATATTCGAAATAGGACTCACTTGTTCTGCTGAATCACCAAGTGAGCGGATCGATATGAGTGATGTCGTTTCCAAGCTTTATTCCATTAGAGACAAACTCCATCCAGAACTTAAATAAGTTGCACGATCAACAGGCAATAATATCTTCTTATCTTAAGCAAAATACTCGATTATTTCATCACTTTAAGGTATGTTTACACTACTTTTTGAGATAATTGATGTGTTTAGATGATATAAAGAAGTAAAAGAGGTTTCCTGGTTTTTTGTTGTTGTTGTTGTTGCAGGGTCTACACGTTTATCCAAAAAGCACTCTGCTTTGAGGAGAGAGAATAAATATGGAATATTTTGAATTAATGTTTTGTTTTTCTCTTTGCATCATAAACTACTGGATTGTATTTAAATTTAGAATTCAAGAGATCATTGGACAAAGGCAACATCAATGCCAATCAATGACATGTTTTCAACTCGTAATGCTTAAGCCTAGCTTTCTCTGAATTGAACTCAGCTTGTACATCACGTGCTTGGGCCTGCAAGAGTTCATTATCATAAATAGGATTCAGCAGCTCGTGAGCAGCTCGAACTCAACTCGGTCAAAACTCGATAAACGCTTAACTTGAGTTGGCTTGACTCGAACTCGAATCGAGACCTTAACGAGCTGAGCCGAGCAAAGTCTAACTCGACTCGATGAATTCGCGAACAGCTCATTAATTTTTTAAAATATATTTTAGTAATTAATTCAAAATTATTTCATTCAAAAAATAAATCTAAATAATAATTATTAATTTATTAATAAATAATAAAAATAATAAGTTAACTAATCTATTATTTTTAATAAATAATAAAATATTTGTAATTAATAATATTATATTAATAAAAAAGCGTAGCCCTAATATCCTCCTGTAGTATTAGTAATTTTTTTTAGTTAAAAAATAAGGTAAATTTTTTAGTTAGCTTAACAAGTAATGAGTTGAGCATAACGAGCAACGAGTCGAGTTGAGTAGCAAATTTTTTAACGAGCACGAGTCGAGCACAATTTTAACGAGCTTAAAGAGCAACGAGTCGAGTCGAGTCGAGTAGCAAAATTTTTTAACGAGCACGAGTCAAGCACTGCTCAACTCGCAATCGACTCGCTCGATAAGCATGCCTAATCTTAACCCACTAACGTTTTGGCCTCTCGAGTGAAAACATGGATACAAACATTAGAACGTAAATGACACGAAACATATTGTGGTCTACTTGAGTTTAATTTGATTAAAATTTAGTCTCTATTTGAATTATGGCTTCAACTCAAGTTTGAATTTGACTCGAGTTCTTAACGAGTCGAAGCGAATTATTTGATATCCGACTCGAAAAGTGCATGAATAATCCCAAAAAAATAATATATTAAAATTTTAATTATTAAATTCAAATATTAATAATCTTAAAATTTATATGTTCTTTTTATTTTAAAAATGCAATATAAGGTTTTTATGTACTTAAAATTCAAGTTCGAGTTTAAGTTTGAACAAAGTTGAGTTCGAACTTCAATAGAACTAAGTCCGAGAATGTTTTAAGTTTAAGTTTTTTTCGAGCGAAGTCAAACTTTAATTTTTAATTTTGACTTCGAGTGGAACTTAATAATTTTAGACGAACTTTAAAATTTATTCAAACTCAATATTACTTAAACTCGACTCAACTCATTTACGATCCTAACAGAGATAACAATAAAACAATACAAGAACGTCATCCGTTTTTGTTCCACATTTTATATTCGTAGTGTTTTCTAGCATTCAGGAATAGATGGAGAGTGTTGAACAAACACATTTTATAGAAATTTTAAATTATTCATTTTTATATTCTCACCGCTTTGATGTATATTTTTAGTATATATGTATAATTTAATTTTGAAAATGCATTATTGCAGCATTAATTCAATTGAAGGTTAGATGATTTAGTCCCCAATTTGAAATCAGTCTACTCGATTCTGAGTCAAACAGAGTATAAAGCATCCGAGTTGGGCTATGGGCAGCTTTACACTATTTAGAGCTAAAGTCAAAAGGAGCAAAATCCATATAGTATCCGACCAGCAGGCCTGTGATGTTCCTCTATGCCTCATCTCAAATACCCAATCACGTGCATCAAAGTACACATATATAAATATATTAGCTGACCCTTGTTTTTATATGTAATGATAAAAGGAGGTATAATAGTAGGTTGCTCTCAATGTTAGGTGTAGAACAATTTCTGTGGGATATCTCTAAATTATAAATTATCAATCGTGAAACTCGATCCTACAACCACAAAATTAAAAACATTACGCTCTACCAATTAAACTGAACGAGAACTCTACACAGATATAAATATGTGTTCTTTTATTACTATTATACATGTATAATAATTAAATAGCTCTAATTGTGGTCCCTATACTCTTTAAGGGACACATAATTCTACCCTACGTTCTTAATCATATTATTAGTTTACAACGCGGGTCCTACATTAATGGCTATGATCTCAACCATCCCATTTTTATTGGGCAAAAAACACTCGTGGTCACTATTTTTGTATATGTTTTTGTTTTTATCAACTGGTTTTGAAAAAGTTTTATTCTAATCACTTTTCTTTTCAATCTATCTTATTGAATTCTTTTTTTAATAGTTAGAATTGATTATAAGATAATATTTATTCATAATTTTTTTTAATCGTATACACATTATATAAATATAATTATTTAAATTCGAGATATTTAAAATAATAATACTTCTTTAATTATTGAAGTGGTTTGAAAATTAATAACACCGCTTTGTTATATATTAAATTTAAAACATATCCGACATCGACTATTTCTCTTCCGCGCAATGTCAGCCTTTTAGCCGCTAAAGATTCTTTCCATTCCCCACATCCCGACCGTTAAATAAAAATCTAGGTCCCGCTATTTTCAACGGTTCAGATTCCATTTAATTAGCTCTGCCTCAAAACTTCCAAAAGCCGCATTTAATTGCACTCTCTCTCACTGACCATGATGAATCTTTAAATCAAATTAATTTATTGATCTGTCAACGCATAGGGATGCGAGCTCATATTATTGAAGGTACAAACGTCCGCTTCCTAACCCTTCACGTCCCCCGGCAAAATAGTGAACCGCCGTTTGGTACCTTTCACACGCAAACAAAATTCGCGCCATCTCACCTACAACCCACGAGCTCATCTCATCCATCCGATTGTATAAAGAATACTTTAACTTTTTTTATTTAGAGTTAATTTGATTACACGTCTTCATACTAACTCTCTTATTTTATATTTATCTTTAAATTCTTGAATATTCTTTTTTTTTTATAAGTTAACTTTTATTATCCAAAAAAGCGTTGAAACTACAAAGAATGTCTTAAAAAAGGGTTTACAATCAAATACTTACAACAAAAATGATTAATCTATACCTCATGAGTTGCAAAGGTTACAATTAACATTATCTAATCTATTGATATTTTTATCTTTAATTTGGGTTCCAACTATCTCTTTTATGGAAGATAGAAGTTGGTTGACTTCTTTGGATCCTCGATAAAAAAATTCTTCTATTTCTCTCTTCTCATATCATGTAGATGAACAAATTCCAAGCAAGCTTCATGATTATAGTAACGAGTGATTTACCTTTCCATTCGTCACAAGCCCAGCTAATAGTTTCATCCCATGTCCTGTGAGAAATTCGCATATGAGAAATGGTAAGAATGGAGCTCTATAGGGATTTAGAAAAGTTGCAATCAGAGAATAAATGGTCTCTTGTTTCATTAGTATCATTGCAAAACACACAACTGCAATCATTGACGATGCCCATCCGAGATAGCCTTCCTCTAGTTGGAAGTCTGTCCAAGATGGCCATCCAAGTGATCATACTGAATTTCGGTATGTGGGAAGGAAACCATAAGATTTTATGCCATTGAACCTTGCTTCTTTTTTCTCTAACAGCTTCCCAAACATCTCTGGTTGTTGTAGTTCCCACGTTTAGAATTGGAAGAGCAGTGGATCGAAGCTTCATTAATCTCTTGATACTCCAACTGTAAGAAGCTTTAACATCCATGTTTTTTAAGTCCTCATTTTTTATAACATAGCAATATAACCAAGCGACCCAGAGTGACCCTTGCCCTGCCAGAACATTTCGAATAAGCTGGACCATGCAGACAGTGTTCTAGGTTTTGATGTTTTTCAAGCATAATCCACCTTCAGATTTGAGGCAACAAATACGAGTCCAGCTGACTCTGCTCCGGAAGCAGACTGGTCCGTTCCTTTCCAAAGGAAACTGGAACAGAACTGGTTAATACGGTTAATAATAGACTGAGGGAGATTGAACTGCCTACACCAGTAATTGGCCATACTATACAGGATCGTTTTAACTAATTCAAGTCTTCCAGTATAACTTAGGAGTTTGCTTGACCAATGGTAGAGTCTAAGCTTGATTATGTCGATTAGAGGCTGGCAGTCCTGTTCAATTAGTTTTTTAGTGACTAATGAAACCCTCAAATATCTAACAGGGAGAATACCTTGTTTGAACCCAAAAATACATTTGATAATTTGAAGATTTCGAGATGAGATTCCAGCAGCAAAGAGTTCAGTTTTGCTAACATTGAGCTTAAGACAAGATAATTTTATTTTCAAACTATCTCTAATTTAAATTAATCTTCACACTTTTAAATATTTTAATTTTATCTCCAAACTAAAACTCTCTCTTAAAATTAATTTTTAAACATTTAAACTTTATAATTTTATCACAAAACTATAACTATCTTTTCAGATTAGTCCTCAAACTTGTGCATATCTCAATTTCATATAGTCTAATGATCTTAAAATCCGATATTTACAGGTGAGAAAGAGGAACTTGACAGTAGTGGGGTCCAAACTCCAAAGAAAAAGGCTAGTGTTGGGTGGGTTAAGGGGCATGGCCTGGCCTGGCCGAGCTTTGACGGAAAGACAAAGCACTGGGCAAACGCCGTCTCTTTAAGCTTTTGCGCACACAAACACACTGTCACAAATGGAGAGAGAGAGTAAGCGCAACGCACAAATTAAAAGTTTCAGTACTTATAGAGAGAGAGAAAGGTGAAAAAGAAAAGAAACGAAAACTTGTTTACGAGAGAATGTGAAAGATTTCTCATCTTTCCCTTTATTTTTGTTTCCCTTTCTTCGTCTTCGTTTTTCTTTTTCGACTTCACTGCTACAACCGGGAAAGACCCACCTTTCTTCTTCTTCATTTAGCAAATGTCCGGCTCAGGGCTTTCTTTCTTTTAAATCCGTTGGATTTTGCGATTAGAAAAGACCATGGCAAGTGAATGTTCGGACGAAGGCTCCGATCAACAGAGCGAGCGGTGCGGGAGCTACAGTTTGAGCGCTGACGTCAGCGAGTCCGAGAGTTGCAGCAGCTTCTCGTGTCGGCGTTTCGATGGAGAGGGCTGTTCGAGTTCGATGACGTCGTCCCCGAGGTTAATGGCTGCCGGAGGGCTCGGTTTTCAGGTGCCGGTGATTGGTGGGAAGGATGTCGTGATTTGGGACGACGATGACGAGAAGACTGAGAAACGTGACGCAGATTTGTCCGGTATTGCCGGTTTCTTCATTTTTTTTGCATTATAATTAGAATAAAATCTTTCAAATGGTTTGTATATTTCTGCTCAGATCGATTTTGCTTGTTTCTATTTTTTTCCGTAAAAAATACTAATCAAATCTTAAAAACGAACAAAAAATCCGAGTCTGGATGAAAAATCAAGGAAAAATTGCACCTATTAAATCATTTTGTTTCATATCATGTACTAATTCTGCATTTATTTTTATACTTTTATAAAGGAATTTTGGGATAATAAGCATTTACATGGGTTTTGTAATGTTTTCAATATCATGTAGGAGCTGAGATGATGAAGGAGAGATTTGCTAAGCTTCTTTTAGGAGAAGACATGTCTGGAGGTGGAAAAGGAGTTTGTACTGCACTCGCCATTTCGAATGCGATCACGAATCTCTCCGGTTAGTTCGATTTTGCTTATAATTCCTTGTAGTGTGTATATATATCTGTATTTTGTGTAACTTTATTTTAAGCTAAATTGGTACTCTTCTTTGTAATGGCAGCCACCGTGTTCGGTGAGCTATGGAGATTAGAGCCATTAGCACCGCAGAAGAAGGCAATGTGGAGGAGGGAAATGGAGTGGCTCTTGTGTGTGAGCGATTCAATCGTTGAACTTGTACCATCAATACAACAATTCCCCGGGGGAGGAACTTATGAAGTCATGGTGACAAGGCCAAGGTCGGATTTGTACATAAGCCTTCCAGCCCTTAAGAAGCTTGATGCGATTTTGATTTCCATGCTTGACGGGTTTCGTGAGGCGGAGTTTTGGTATGTTGATCGCGGGATAGTTGTGGGTGATGGTGGGGACTCTGGTGCTTATTCTTCATCTGTTTCTGGAGGGAGGCCCTCGATTAGGCAGGAAGAGAAGTGGTGGTTGCCATGTCCGAAAGTGCCCCCTAATGGTTTGTCGGAGGATACAAGGAAGAAGTTGCAACAATGTAGGGATAGCACAAACCAAATACTAAAGGCAGCCATGGCGATTAATAACAGTGTGCTCTCCGAGATGGAGATACCTACTGCTTACTTGGAGACGTTACCAAAGGTATGTCGCTACGTTTCTCAAGCAGCTGAAGTTTTCGCAGTCATACCGAAAACCATATGCATTGTTTCCATTTTGGCTAAGATTTCTAACATGTTAATATTAGGTGATCAACATTGATTTGTCAAATTAATGAGCATTTCTATCAAAGAACCTGTTAGTTAAGCAAGGTGCTCAAGTTATACATGATTAGATTTCTTCCATTGAAAGTCAAATTAACCAGTGCATTTTGGTGTAGCTAGTTGTCATTTTAGCATGATTTATCTTAAGTTATACTTGAAGGGTTAACATACTTTCCTTGTCATCAGAATGGAAAAGCTTGTCTGGGAGACATTATCTACCGCTACATAACAGCGGACCTGTTCTCACCCGAATGTCTCCTCGATTGCCTTGATCTGTCATCCGAACATCACACTCTGGAAACAGCCAACAGGATCGAGGCGGCAGTACACGTTTGGAAGCAGAAAGATCAGAGGAAACACATGAATCACAAGAAAGGTAGGCGCTCTTCATGGGGAGGAAAGGTCAAAGGCCTTGTGTCTGACAGTGAAAAGAGTAACTTTCTATCTCAAAGAGCTGAGACCCTCTTACATAGCTTGAGGGTTCGTTTTCCCGGCCTTCCGCAGACGGCTTTGGATATGAACAAAATTCTATATAATAAGGTATTTTTGCATCAAATCTTTCGTTGTGTCCGTCTAACCATGTGGCCTAATAAATGAGATGTGGTATCTCCTTGGGAGGAATAGGGCCAACTTTTTTTGCTTCCTTGTATCTTTTGCCACTGTGTACCATCCATGATCTTGGGACCACAGCATTTTAATAGGGGATAATGAGGGGGTCTATATTGAGTGAAGTTACAAACCACGTTATCTTGTATTGGTAATCTCTGAAGTGAAAGGTGAACCTCCTCTACTTGATGGGTACATTTTGAAAGCAGCGGTTCCCACCGTTGTTGCTCGATTTGTGATTCGAATCGACCTCATGGTTTTACGTTATGTAGACCTTATTATCGTTTAATTGCAGGACGTTGGGCAATCGATTCTTGAAAGCTACTCAAGGGTGATGGAGAGTTTGGCCTTCAACATTATGGCAAGGATAGATGATGTCCTATATGTTGATGATGCTGTCAAGCATTGTGCTGAAGCCGAATCGATCTCCCTTTTCAGCAGGGGCAGCTTAAGCAGTCGTCCCATACAGAGGCGAATGTCTCCGAGTCCCTTTTCGATTCAGCACACTCCTTATGCATCTCCTTTCGCAACACCGACCTTTTCTTCGACTCCAATTACCGGTAGTCCAGGAAGGGCAGCCTCTATGAAGAGAAATGGTATCAAGGAAGAACCTGACTGGAAACACGAGAAACCGTATGCGGCCGAGTTTGAGAAGGTGTGGTCGTATACAGGCAACCTCAGCGCAAGAAGGGTTTCGGAAAATGCTCCCGAGAGAGACTGAAATCAAAGATTCATAATCATATGTAAGATAAAGTACGATGAATAGTAGAGAAAGAAGTTAGTTTCATTGGGTGTCTGAATATGGGTAAATCTAGTATTTGTATATTTCTTTGCATTAGGAATATCGACTAGTTGGACCTGTCGGTTCTAACAACGAGCTCGAAACCTTATTCGAGTTTAATTAAGACAATGATGGGACAATCTTAATTCCTAGTCTAATTAAAATAGTGAACCATTAAACCCTAACAAATATATGATGTGATAATTTGATACTTAAGTGAAAATTAAATTTATTTTGTTCCATGTTATCATATTCTTCATTTAGAATTTATTTTATTTATTTTTAGTTCTTAATAAAAATTATCATTTTTTTAATATTCTTTGTAGCTTTCTTATACGTTGATAAGTTTATCTCATCATTCTCTATCATTTTATCGATTTAATTTTTTTTAAAATCTTTGTATAACTCAAAATTAAACATGAAAAAGACATTAATTTGGGAGTTAGGGTTTTGTTATGTTTTTTTCCTTTGAATTTGAGATGAGGTTTAAAATTTTAAACATTGAAAAATATTCTTTTGAAAAGATGAACGATATATCTTAAAACTGGTTTTATCGAACAACTGTTGAAGATATTAGAGCATTAGAATGATAAACTTTAAATAGATTTCTATTGTTTTTAAATGATTTTTAAGATAAATCAATCCGGCGAGAAAAATGATAAGTGAAATACGAAAATTGTGATAATGATATTGTTTTTTATATTGATATTGTCATAAATGATGATCAATGACATGCGGTGATTGACCGACAACAACAAGGAAAAGACTGACAGTTTTTTTATAAGATCAAATTAATATGAAAATTAAAGTTTAATATTCAAAATTGAAGTATATTAAAGTTTAATGATAAATTAAAACACATAATAAATTTAATGAAAAAATTATCATATCATCGCGTTCTTAATAGGTTAACGATCTAATATCTTAATTAAATATAAAATTGAAATTTTATATTAAAATTAAATGATAAAATTGATACAAATACTAAAATCAAATAGTATTTGGGTTAGTTTACCTTTAATTTTTTAATAAATAAAACTCAACAAACTTCATTGGCTCGCTTCTATGCATCGAGTCTGGAAACCCTTTTATAGCTGTTTTTGGGTTTCAATTGAGAATCGAAGTTTTGTTTTCCTCTATTTAATTTAAAAAATACTTTTTTGATTAAAAAGGGAGTCTTTCAATTGAGAATCAAAATTTTGTTATTCATGATGAATAACAAAAGGCCAAGGATTAGCTTGGACAAGGCGGTGGTCGATGTTCGGCAACGGGAACTCGGGGAACTCTCAGCTAGGAATTTCGCCAAACGCCTTGCTGCTTCTGAGGTTCCAACTCTTATTCCGATCCTGGATATCCCTTATTCCCCTTTCATTTATTGATTAATTGTCTGATTGATGGTGGGCAGATTTTAGTTGATCTTGTTAATTTGCATCTGTTATTGATCTGGGGTTGTAAAAATAATTGATGGGTGCCAATTCATGATGATTAGTGATAGAAAAAAACAGTGATAAAAATGCCTTCTTTGACAATGATTGAATCGGAAATTTTTGAACTTTTTCTATAGAAAACTTCTTGGAAGTGAACTTATATATTTTGGCATTAGCACTTGCTGTTAAGTTATAACTTAATGGTTTGAATGAATATGCTTATTTACATTACCTTGTTTTGGATCGATATTCTGTTTATAGTACAAGTCCGGCGCCTTGAAGGTGGAATAACTAACTTGCTATATTTCACAAATTTCTATGTTGCAGGATCTTGTGCTCCGGCTTAGCATTTACAAGAAACTCGAAAAGCACCAAGGTTGTGTAAATACAGTGAGCTTTAATGCTGATGGCAACAATTTAGTATCCGGCTCTGATGACATGCGGGTTATTGTATGGGACTGGGAAACTGGGCATTCCAAGCTTTCTTTCCAGTCGGGTCATTCCGACAATGTTCTCCAAGCAAGATTCATGCCTTACACAGATGACCGCAGCTTGGTTACCTGCGCTGCAGATGGGGAGGTGAATTTCTTGTCTAGGCTTGCAACAATTTTCTAAAATTTACAATAAATTTTTTAGGATCAATTTGCTACATGAATCGCGTTCCTTTGAGCTTAAATGTTGATGGTTTAAACGGAAAAGGAGTCAATTTTCAAAGTCTTAACAAGTATCATGTGCATTATTACTTTGAGAAAGAACATGGGGCTTGAAACAGAAAAGAGTGCTACATGGCTAACATGTATCTTGAGCTAAAGCAAAGGCTTTTATTTTGTGAATTTATGGAGCTGTTTCTTGCTTGTAGGTTCGACATGCTCAAATTTTGGAACGCGGCGTCGAAACTAGGCTGTTAGCCAAACATCAGGGCCGAGCTTTTAAATTGGCCATTGAACCCGGAAGCCCTCATGTATTTTACACTTGCGGCACAGATGGGTTAGTGCAGCATGTGAGTTTGGTTTAACTGCAAAGTCATCATTTTTTCCTTAAAATTCTTTTAGGTTTATAATTTACAAACATTTATGGGACTGAAGTAGCACCAATAATGGTGTGGAGAGAACTTAAGTCGTCCTTGGAACAACCTTTGGGAGTTCAATTTCGATATCTAGTTGTCTGCAATTGATTCTCATGTTATTGTTCTCTTCTTTTTGTTGTATGATGACACTTGCTCTAATAGCCTTATTTTTTAACTCCATTTTAATATAGCCGACTAATACAGCTCCGTCGCACTATGACTTGCATTTCAGATTGATCTTAGAACTGCACAAGCTACTAAACTTTTCACATGCTATCCAATTGATGATAGCAGGGCTTACATGCGAGTTATCAAACTCAATGCTATTGCAATTGATCCAAGGAACCCAAATCTCTTTGCAGTCGCAGGATCTGATGAGTTTACCCGCCTTTATGATATACGCAAATATAAGTGGGATGGGTCGACTGATTTTGGTCAACCTACTGATTGTTTTTGCCCCCCACATTTGATCGGTGATGATCTAGTTGAAATAACAGGTTTGGCCTTTTCAGATCAGAGTGAACTTCTAGTCTCCTACAGTAATGAGTTCATATATCTCTTTACACGAGATATGGGACTGGGGCACGATCCAAGCCTGGCATCTTCAGCATCTGCATATACCGAAGCAAGTGAAATTGGACTTAATCACTCGGCTGTGGTGGCATCAGCTATGGATGCTAATGACAAAGGTGTTCTACAAGTTTATAAGGGACATATGAACCGTGAGACAGTGAAAGGTGTGAGCTTCTTTGGACCTAGGTCAGAGTACGTTGTTAGTGGATCTGATTGTGGTCGAATATTTATTTGGAAGAAGAAATGTGGAGAGCTAGTTCGTGTGATGGAAGCAGATAAGCACGTGGTCAACTGTATCGAATCGCATCCTCATAGTACAGTTCTTGCTAGCAGTGGAATCGAGACTGATATCAAGGTATGGTCTCCAAAGGCTCTTCATAAAGCTATTCTTCCGACGAATATTGAAGAGGTATGTCCTGTTCTTCTAATCTCTTATAGAAAGAAAAATATGAAAACAAACATCGAACAGGTTTGCTGTTCTTAACTGTATGAGAAGCAGAGGAGCTGATCTCTCTGCTATTACTTCTTTGCAAAAGGTTCCAAAACCAAGTCACTTTCGTTTGTTTTGCCCCAAGGATGATGTGTATGCTAACGACGATGATGATAATAATCCCCTTTTTAACATTGAAGATGATAGTGATGATGATTATGATGGGCCAGTTTCAGAGTTATCAATTTTCCCCCGAAACAGAAAACCTACCATACCATATGATGACGACGACGATTTCGATGAAGATGATGATAGCAATGAAAATTGGAGAAAAATAACTATTTCTTTCCAGTTATAATGATGCTAATGATTAATGATTATTGTAATTTTGCACTTTGTCTCCAGTGCAAACCAAAACCTAGGGGCTGGATGTACCGAATAACTTCACCCCAGGACCCGATGATGCGTTTACTTTCATGGCAGAGGCTGGGGAGTAGACCAGAACGATACGGAGAAAACTCATCGTCAGGAGGGCAAGAACTTCTAGATCTGATATGGATATCCGACACCAACAGCGATGCTTCTTCAGATGACGGAGAGAATGCTTCCGGTCCAGAGGACTTATTCAGTTGAATGAAAATGTTGTGGTAACCCTTTTAGCCATTGCACTTGTACATACTTATAAGTAAACAATATCTTTATATAGATTTTGTTTTGTCTCACATAAAAGAAAGTCACCTTTCATGAAATCCACCATTGATAATGAAAGAGACTTTCACCTTCTATAATTACTATACATGCATCATTTCACTATCCTGTCTAAACCTCCATGCAATTGCTGCTGCTTTTGTCACTTGAATTTGAAGGAGCATTCCCTATTGTCAAACTCAGAATGAAGGCAATTGCCTGTTAAATAAAAGTCGAAACGAGTCGTTTTAGTTGCGTAAAACCGAACTGACAATGGTAAAAAGGATACTTTGTTACTTTTATACCAAGTAAAGTTCATACCAATATGAAGGCAATGCACAAGATACTAAACCCAGGGAAATGAAATGGTGCATCTTCAGATAGGAATGATGCTGGATAAACAGTTGAAGCCATTGGTTAATTGACCTTCAACAGTAAAAAAAAACTGTAAATTCTTTTTTGGGGGTAAAGGGTAGAAAATACCAATCTTTACAAACCTGTGAGAGGACTGAAAATCAATGGTGCAATGATGTTGGCCAAGGAACTCACTCCGGATATGCATCCTTGAGCCTTCCCCTAGTTATAATAACATGTTTTGACAGTTAAATTCATGGATGAAGAAAAGGATCCAAAACAGGGAGATCCGGTTACCTGCTCTGTGGAGCCAACTTGTTTCGAAACAATGCTGCGTAACTGTATAATTCGTAATTAGGATTCAATCAGCAGAAATCGTCTTTCAGATAATCGAACAAAGCTCAAATGAAATGTCATTAAAAGGAAGAACTTACAGATGGTGGTGCAAAGACCATCACAGCAGATAATGCAGTAGTTGCATAGGGAACCTGCAGGAAAATATGGAATCATTCGAAGGAATGAGATATTATGATCAAACTAAGCTAAACTCCGGGTTTATCTAATCTTGTTTTGTGCTATCTCTTTGTCAAATGAAGGAAACATAAAGAAAGTACCCAAGGTGACCAGGCCAAGCTGTAAATAATGGCCTGCAGAAGAAGTCAGGTAAGAAATTCATTAGTTTACATGTCTTATTTGTTAATAAGAGATTGAGCATTAGTTGAGAAATAGAACTCTTACGTGTATACATGAAATTAAGAGTCCTATTGAAAGCAGCTTTCCATCGCCAATGGGAGATACCAATAAGGGCATGATAAACAACTGCAGGAATATGGTTCAGAAACATATAAGAATATCAATGTTTTACTGATATTTGATTGACGAAAGAATCGAAATAGCATCGAGAAATCTACCAAAAGTGTTTATACCTGCGAAGCGGTAGCTATAATTCCAGCAATTAGCATCAAATCAGCAAACTGGTTCTTGTTAAAGTGGAAACGAGCCTTCAAATAGTACTGTAGGATCACAAAATTTTGAACTACAATGAGAGAAAGTGACCATTATTTTCACAATTGGAAAGGTAGAAAAGCATACCATTGATGAAGATAGTACCCCACCCTCTGCAAGATTATAGAAGAAAGCAACAACTGCTGCTTGTGTAAATGATGGACTGAAATTACACAACTTCATCGGTCATTTTAAACATCGATAAAGCAAAAGAAGGAATTTACAGCAAACCAGTACCTGCTCCTCAGCAAGCTAATAATGTCACCAAGGGATGGAATTCTCTTGAACACAGGCATCTTCCTAGGTACAACATTGCCATCCTTTTGAATGGCATCTTCACTTTCTTTCAAGATTGGTTGTGTCATACTTTCATCTCGAACGGGTATACTTTCCTCGAGGAAAGTTCTCATGTAGACTACCGCGAGCATCGATACAAACGTAGCAACCTGCAGACTTAAGATTCAACAATGAGGAAAGGTGCAGTTTGGATGTAGCAGAGAAGAGTTCAGGGTAGGAACAAAAAGAAGAACCTGAAATGTGGAACCAGCGGAGAGGAAACGAGCTGCTAAGGTTGAACATACAAATGCACCAGAGGTTATACCTGAGAGAATTCCAAACGCAGATGCCCTTTGGCTATCTGATATGTTATCTGCCTGCAGAGGAAATCCCATAAACGAAATCAAAAGGTTGACATTAGATGTGAGTTATTTTTCTTATGTCATAATCGTGTTCATGATAGTTTCATGTGCATTGGTGCCAAGATTACAAAGCAATTACATAATGATTTAGGGGTTAAATACCAAATAAGCAAGAGCAAGGCAGTTAACGCTGCCTTCACAGATCATGGCAGTGAGCGTCCTGAGGGCGTAATACGCATAAAAATAGTTGGTTGTTCGGCTGTATGCCAATACAGCTGCAGGAAGACAATTCATATATATATAACTCAAAATATCAATTGTTTGGCATTGTCTTAACAGGAAAACGAAAAGCATACGTACCGAAGGGGATAATGGACAAAGCCATAGGTAAAGTGAGGAGAGATTTCCTGCCATACTGATCCGATAGATTCCCAATAAGTGGCATCATCAGGGTCGTCCCTACTCCTATAACCTGCATTCTTCCATTACATCAGACGCGTCACCACTGGCAATCAGAACGGAGCTATGGTACTAGCTCAAGGGGCAAAATATTAACAAAAAAATGGAAGGTAAAATCAAAATAAACTAAAATTATGAGGTTTAAGTAGATATACATTTATATATATTCTTTAATAATAATAAAAATGAGGGGACATAAGCATAGCTTCGTCCTCATGGTTATGTTGTGAACCTCAATTATTTCCATGCTCTACATGTAATCTGCTTTGATTCCAAGCAGGGACAGAGTTAAGGAATAGACAATTAGACGGATTAAATGGTCTAATTTTAAAGTTAATAGTAATTTAAGAAGTATTTAGTCTAAAATTTTAGAGAAATTAAAAGGTTAATTTGATAAATATTTAAAATAATAGGGACTAAAATTATTATTAGATAAAAAAATAAAGACATGATCGTCTCCCATGCCCTTAACAACTTCGTCCCTGATTTCAAGTCCACCCTTCCGAGAATTCATATAGATTCTTCTCTAGAATTTATTTTAAAACAAGATGTTGATGGCGACATGGATGGAGTACATGTGATAACGGTCGACTCCTTAAAAATTTTATAAATTAACTCTTTAATATAAATTTTTGTATCCGTTCCTAAATATGATAACATTATTTCTTATTGTCGCGAAAATGGTAATATCACCGTGAAAATTAATAAAATTATCTTCATAGTAAGAAATTTATTAATTTAAAAAAAACATACTATCACTTTAACGGGATCAATTTAGATCTACTAATAACATCATAAAATGATGACATTAATTTTATCATATGAAAATTATCCAAGCCATCTTCATTGTAAGAAAGATAGCATCCATATATTAATGAAATCGTAAATTTTAACATAGTAGAAGGACTAAAACCGTAGTTATACTAAATCATTTATTTTCTAGATATTTGTGGAACATGATACCGTATCCAAATCGCAGAATAATTGGTTGAGTTTGAAACAAAATCAGAGTTGAAAATAAGAAGAAATGACAAACATGAAATGGACCCTCCAGTTAAAGTTGTACTCTGTTGCTTGCTTCCCAATTAACAAGTATTGTCTGGTTTCCCAGATGTCAAGCAGCAAAGACATAACATGGCTATTGTTGGAACTGTGACAGTGATGCATGACATGTCTGGTTTGAACATAAGCATCGCTTGCACATCTCAGTTTTATCCCGAATGGCACTTTGCATGTTAATGCAATTTGTTTGCTTTCAAGGGACAACTTCAGCATTAATTCCCATGAAAGATACTATATATGATAAAACCACAATCATTTCAAGAAGAATCTAAGAGAATAATAAATCTTAAACTTTAAAATTAATTACTTAAAAAAAATTGTTATTATTATATCAATTGGATTTCTCCATCGACCTAACGATTAGTTTTATACTTTAAATGATGATTCGAACATGACATAAAGCATGTTTGAAATACGTGGATAAGTGTACACCCACTATATTGGGGAAGTTCTACCCAACGACAGTTTTAATATATGGTTAATGAAAATCGTTATCAGTTTTGTTATTATTATTTTTAACAAAATCGATAAAAAATTATCGGAAACATTATTATTTCTACCGATTTGTTATTATTTGGCGCTTTACCGAGCTTGATAATATATCCGGTAAAACGCTACCTAAAGTATTATTTTTTCTACTGGATATATTATCAAATCCAGTAAAGCGCCCAATAATAATAAAACCGGTATAACTAATAATATTTTCGATAATTTTTTACCCATTTTATTAAAAAAATAATAACAAAACCGATAGCGTATTTCCTTAACCATATATTAGGCTGCCGCACGTGAGACTTGCCCTACATAGGTAGTATGGATATGATATGTTGAAAAATAATGGCATTAAAATTTATGGGGATTAATATTTTTTAAACGAATCATATCTAAATATAAATTTTTATTTAAATCTAAATTAATGATTAATTAATCAGATGACTTAATCGATATGATATTGATATTTTAAGGATTAAATAAGTTTATAGAAGTTTAGGGACCAAATATAAATTTAAACCATAGTTTGAGAATGTGTCTTAATCTTAAAGAAAGACGTTAAAAATAGGAAATTGCCTAGGGATGAAGATAACACAACTAGACATGTTTTTATCGGACTCAATTTTATAGTCTTTTAGAGAGAGAGAAAAAAACAGATTTGGATAGGGTTTTTTAAAGATGAGATAAAATTAAGTTTTCGGATTTAGAATTAATATTCAATTCGAAAATATTATTATAATTAATTTTTATATATTTAAGAATAATTACCTCTATCCGTAATTTTTTTAAAATTAAATCAATATTTTACTTAATTAAAATGAGAATTATATATATCTTAAAAGCTTGATTGGATTTCGAATGAATCGAATTGGGTAACAGGTAAAAAAATATTATACACAGATTAGAATCGGGTGACATATGAAAGATTGTTGTATTTGGGTTGGAGTCGGTGAGTCAAAACCCCGACCCGACCCGACCCATGAACATGGCTCGTGGTGTGGGGCAGGTGGATCTAAGATGGGGAAACTTGGCAGTAAAGCGACGGATATATTCGAGTTTAACTGTAAAACTGCACATTAACGAAGGCTTTGGTTTTGCGAGGGAGGAAGAAGAAGATCTAAGTGCTTCGGTGTCGGTGTTATTAACACTCAGCTCTAACGTATTTAAATAAGGAGCGGAAGGTAATAATAAATGAAGGGGAAGAGGAAACGTACGGCTTGCTGGATACCGGAGAGGTAAATGGCCAGTGAGCACTCGTCGGTGCCGGGACAGAGGGCGAACATGGTGACATCTGTAATTGCAGGAATCACTATGCAGCTCGCAAAGCCCCACATGAAAACGGTGACGTATAGATGGCTTAATGCTTTTAGCTTCTGCTCCATTCTTTTTCCTTTCTTTCTCTTTGAATTAATGAAAAAGCAAACTGCAGATATTGGAACGCTTGGAAATATGAAAGTTGAAGAGTGGATAGTGGGTTCTCTTTTATTTAAGACAATGAGCGTGTCTTATTCTGCTCAGTCCCTATATTTTTTAAACTTTTGAAATTTAGTCCCTCTTCTTTTTAGTTCCTGAAATGTTGAATCTCTCCCCTTGTCTGAATTTTGTCTAATTCTCGAATCTAGACTTATCAATCTAACTGTATCAGATACTCCATTTATACAAAACATCAAACATACTTAATAGTAAAATTTAATGTTTTATAATAATTTTACATTGATTATAAGATAATATTTGTTTGGAATTGTCAGAACCGTCTTTCGGTAGACCCGAAATTGGGCTTCGACTTGAATTATTGGGTTAGAGTCGTCACCGATCATTTTAAAAATATTTAGGTGGATCGGACATCATCTTACCTGCTCTGCGTTTTACCAGAAACGTGTCGGGTTCGGGAGTCGATTACAAACAAGGAATGATTAGCGCCAATTAATTTGTCAGTTGTCTTTATTTGCGAAAATTAAAATTTAAAAATCCGATTCAAATTACTTACCTTCGATTGATTAAAATAAATTAGCTGACTCTTATTCCCATGTGTAATGGGGTAAGGAGGAGGTAGGATAGTAGGCTGTAGAGGACCTCCGAATTATGAAATGCCCTTCGTGAGACTCGATCCTACGACCTAAAGGTTAAGAGCCTTGTGCTCTACCAATAAAGCTGGATGGTCATTTCCTTCGATTGATTAAAAAATTCCCCTAAAAAGTCAAAAATATTGGTAGATTGTAAAATAAAAATAAATATGAAAAAAGAAATTTTTTTAATATAATAATAATAAAATAAATAAAATTTTACCAGAAATATGTCGGGTTCGGGAGTCGATTACAAACAAGGAAGGATTATCATCATTGTACTGCCCTTTCGGTACCAATTAATTTGTCAGTTGTCTTTACTTACGAAAATTAAAATTAAAATTAAAATTTAAAAACCTAATTCAAATTACTTACTTTCGATTGATTAAAAAATTCCACTAAAAAATCAAAAATATTGTTATATTGTAAAATAAAAATAAAATAGATAAATAAGATTAAGTAAAAAAACTAAAAAAATATTTTTATTCTTTATCATTGAGTAAAAATCCTTAGTGTGGAAAGCTAAGGTAGTAGATGTAGACTTTGGTTTATAAAGTCGAATCACTCTAAATTATTGTATTCAATTTTTATATTTTTTATTCAAGCTTCCGCCAAATTTTTTATTTGCTAATTCACTCCATTATTGACTATTTCATCCATTCGATTGACTCAACATGATTTTAAAGTACTATTAAAAATATTTAATTTTCAAGTACTATTCAAAATAAATATTGAAATTTTAAAGTACTTAATTTTTCAATAATCGTTTCTCAGTTTATAAAAAGATACTTAAATTCTATTAAATTTGAATAAAGCCTAATTATGATTACGAAATTCATCCTTTTGTTTTACAAAAATTGAGAAGTTAAGCTGCCTATTTTAATTTGTTGGAATTGGGTTGTTTTACTTTACAAAAATTAAAAAATTTGACCATTAAATAACATTGATAAAGCTTATCGTTGAATCATTAGCCTAAAAATCAACAGTTTTACAATTTATATATACATATTTAACGAAAATTAACAATTCAGCTTATATGCAACAAAATAACCATACATTGGAATGTGTTGTCAACTAAACTTTTATTTTTAAAATATTCAATATACCATATATTTAAATTTAACAGAAATCTATTAATAGTGATATAATTTTGATTTTGATTTACAAATCAAACAAGGGGCTAAATTCCATGAATTAAAAGTAGGGAGATTAAAATTAAAAAGTTTAGAAGTATGAGGACTGAAAATATAATTAAACCATTGTAAAAGATATAGGTAAGAAGATTCATGACTTCGAGTTGAATCTTTTCCCTTGATTTTTATTCTAAAGTTGACTCGCGGAGGAAAATGTAAGATTTTTTTAATCAAATATAATATTTTCTTTTTACACTTTACTATTATTGGTGTATTAAAAATAAAAGATGATAAAAAAAACATCAAATTAAATTAGGTTAAAGCCCACATCTAGCTAAGCTTATGGGACCTATAAGAAGTTGTATTTATTTTAGTTTTAAATATCAAGTTAACAACAATAATTAATCTTATTTTCTTGGTTAAATTAGAGTAATAATATTATGGAAAAAATAATGAAATGATATTAATTTGTGTTTATTTAGGTAAGAGATTCATGACTTCAAGTTGAATCTTTGCCCCTCTATATATTATTATTATTTTAATTAAATCTATATTTTTATTGAATAAAATTAATTTTTTTTTAATAAATATAATATTTTGAATTGGGTCGGATCAAGTCGGATTCGAATTTAATCTTAAAAAATCAGATCGGATTTGATTTTTATCTAAAAAAAATCAAGTCGAATCATATCAGATTGACAAAAAATTTAACCCGACCCGGCCATGCTCATCCCTAAATAAAACCATGAATGTGTTTCGCTATCGTAAGTGAATTAATGGAACAATTTTCTTCATTTCATTTATAGTGGGAGGCAAGTTGATTGAAGCTTCAAGGTTTGCCTAGGTGTCACTTCGGGTAATTAAAATATCTTACTTCTATCATTTTACAATATGATATCATCACATTTGATTTTTAATATTATTATTAGTATTCGATTAATTAGTTTATTAATCTGAATTAAGTGCTGAAAAAAACCTATTATGAAATGTTCTTTTTATCTAATTTATTACATTTGATTAATAAAAAGTATTTGTATACGATCACCTCGACCCCGTCGTAGCCGTCGTGTGCGCGTGAGGCTTGTCCCCAGCTCTGGTTCCTTTTAGAACCAATCCAGTCGGTCTGGATCGGCCCGAACTGGCCAACTCGGTCTGAACCGAGTCTGTTTGACCCGAATCGAGTCAACCTGACCTGACCCGAGCCGTTTACTTTGACCATTGACTTTAACTTTGACAAAAAAGTTAATTTTTTTAAAAATCATATTTTTTGTTTTTCGACATCCTGAATCCGAATCCGAAGTCCGTTTTGTCAAATCCGAACCCAAAAGCCTCCGAATTTCTTGTTAAACCCGAACATACGTATGTAAATTAAGTATTTATTTCAATGCATCAATTTTAACATAAGGGTCAAGACTAATTAATATTATCGAATATTTAAGGTACTCGTGGATCTCATGAACGTTTGCATGTTCGACCCGGTTCCTCCCGATCCGCTTGTTCACGAGAGCCCGTAAATACTCATATATTTATGTGGCCTTGTTAAATATTCAATTTAGATTATTACTCCGATTATAACCAGGTTCTGTAATGACTTAGGTTCTCGTACAGTCGACGAACGTAGTGACGCTTGTGCTCAGTAGATATTTCAGACTGTTTCTTTTTGCGATGTATGTTCCTTATGTGTCATGTACCTATTTTAAATATTTAATTGATATGTCATGTGCACATGATTGTTTTCTCTGATTTGAAATGTATTATTTGCTCTGATTTGACTACTGTATGATTTATCTTATTTAAAGTATGATTTCTGATTTACTAAAGTAAGCCTAATTGTCTGATTCATGTTCTCTGGTTACTATTTTTACTGATAAATAAATATGCTTGAACTTTGATTTCCTGCTATCACTGATTGTTGTTTGAAAAATATTTTTCTTCGGGGTACTTTGGGATCTAGTATGAAGTCTCTACAGGTTCTCGGTCAAGCTAGTAATTCCTTATATAAGTTCAGACCGATCGAACTGTCAATTCCTTATAGACCTAAGGCGACTCTTGGGTGGGTTCATGGGCCTAGTGGTAAGACCTTATGAACCCTAAGGTACTCCCTTAGGGTGACTCATCTGCTGTGTGCATTGGGTATGCCCTTATGAGCTTGAGGGTACTCCCCTCAGGTGGGCACCTACGCTTCTGCTAGGGTAAAACCTTATGGACCCAATATGCTCCTTTAGGCTGACACCTACGCCCTTTGGGCCTAGACTAAGTCCTTATGGATGCAGTTATAGGGATCTGCATATGATGTTCGATTGGAGGGTGATTCTGAAATTTTAAACAAAAAAACTACTGATGCTTTCATAATTTGGAACTGAACTGATTTTGAAACCTCTACCGACGTTTCATGACTTTATTAATTAACTGGTTTTGAAATCTAAATTTTATGTTTTATTTATGCACTGTTGGTACACACTGAGCTCCCTACCTCACTCCCCCAAACTTCTCTCTTTCAGATATTTTTTATAGGTATCCCGGACCTGACACTTGAAGGATCGACACATTAGTACATTGATATTTTGTTGTAATGTATTTATCTTCCAAGCTGCATTTATTTTGGGTGACATGTGCCTATATTTTGAAAATGTTGATTTTATGATTTATATTGTCTTCGATACTTATGTTGGAATATTTTATTTTTATTTAATTCTTACGACGACTTTTAGTTACTGAAATTGAAATTTAATATTATCAAATATATTTTTAAAGATGTTTATTCGGAATATGGTTTTAAATTATTGAAAATATGTTGAAAAACTTTATCGTAGTCCGTTAGATCTAGTCGTAACGCATATATTAGATCTAAGGGGTTACATAAAAATTTATGGGATTTGAGTTAATGATTTATCTTTAACAACTCAAAATCAATAAATTTGGTCATGAAATTCTTTAAATCAAGTATTATTTAAATATTAGTTTTTCAAAATTTTAAATATAATTTTTTAAAGATGAATTCATTGTTCTCAAGTGTTTAGATATTAATATTTCAACTTTGACCTTTTAGATATTAGTTTTTTATTTTATTGGTACGAACTCAACTATCATACAACCCTATCCTAATGTACTTTTAACTCATCTTTGCGTCAATAAAACTAAGGATGAGAATGGGACTCGATCCGACGGGTTCTAATCCGACCCGATCGGTTTTTAAAAAATAGGATTTGAGTCGGATCAGATTTAAAATTCGGGTAAAAATATTCGACCCAAGAAAAATATATAATTTTACATTAATATTTAGGTATAATTTCAATAACGTCCATCTATATATTATTAATTTTTAATTAAATACATATTTTTATTGAATAAAAATAATATTTTTAGTAAATATATTATTTTAGGTCTGATCAGATCGGGTTCGAGTTTTATCTTAAAAAATTAGATCGGATTAGGATCGAGTTCAAATTTTATCTCAAAAAATCAAGTTAGGTCGGATCGAGTTGATGAAAATTCAACCCGACCTATGTCCATCCCTAAATAAAACCATGAATGTGTTTGGCTATAAGTGAATTAATGGAACAATTTTCTTCATTTCATTTATAGTGGGAGGCAAGTTGATTGAAGATTCAAGGTTTGCCTAGGTGTCACTTCGGGTAATTAAAATATCTTACTTTTATCATTTTACAATATGATATCATCACATTTGATTTTTTAATATTATTATTAGTATCCGATTAATTAGTTTATTAATCTGAATTAAGAGCTGAAAAAATCTATTATGAAATGTTTTTTTTATCTAATTTATTACATTCTTAATGTTAAGATTCTAATTATAAAGATAAGATATAAGGTCTGAACATAATAATTTACTTTTAATAAATTATAAATGAATTAATTTTGAGATTTATATTTTCTGTTCGTTATGTATAATTCTATATTTGGATCACTGCAATTATATACGAATTATTTGTTAATTTATGTACTCTCTTGCTTTCTTCGTAGTATAATATTTGAATGCGACATAAAGTAACTTCAATTATGCGATTCTCACTCAGGCGTGACCCTCTTTTTCACCGTATCTCCGCTGTTGTTCAGTTATTTTGATATTTTCCCGAGAAAGTGTGGGAAAAAATATAAAGAAAAATGTTTGGTGTGCACGTGTTACTGTGGGTTGGAACTTGCTAGTCCAAAAGCAATGAATTATTGATTTAAAAATATTTAAATAAAAAAGTATTTGTATACGAATACCTAATAAAAAAATATATATGCATTTATGAGTTTAAAACGATTTAACTTTGAATTTAATCAAAATTTAATGTAATCGGGAGAGAGATGCGGTACCTAATAATTTAATCATAATGTAGGATATGAATACGAAAATTTCAATATTATAATTGTCAAAATCAGATTAAATTAGTTAATTTAAATAAAAAAAAGTTAAGGGTTCGAATTCTAATGATTGTGAATGAAGTAAATTGAATTGGGAATGTCATCCTCGCCTTTGTAATACTTTATCTGAATTAACCGATTAATTGTGAATGTCATTTGAGCTTTTCACTTTCTTCAGGGGATTTAGTATCTCATAGTCGTTCTACCAAACTAACTAGTTGTTAGTATAATTACATCTTTTATAATTACAGAGGATTTTACTTTTTTAAATATGTTTGAGACCGGTTTAATTAGAATTAATTTAGGATTTAGAGAAAATAATTTATTATTTAATTATTTTAATATATAAGTAAACTGTATATATTTAGAAAGGTTCCATGACCTTCGTTTCTTGGGCCTAGTGCAATGCTCCCAATACGTGTTATTGGACTTGAGGAACTATAAAAATGTCCCAAGGCTAAAGCCTCTCGTTTGGCCACTGGGTTTTTATTTTTGAAGCGAGAGGACATTCCACGGCCGAGCTTCTTCATCTTCTTCTTCACAAACAAACGGTACCGTCGAGTTCACTGTTTCTTATACCTTCTGGGTTATTTCTTCTATTGTTGTTCCTGTCTGGTTGTTGTTATTTTCTTTCGCAACAGTAAGGTGAAAGATTTGCTTTATTTTCATTTCGGGGTTTAGATTAATTATAAGTTTTTTGCTAGAACTATGAGCGGTTCAATCTCAGGTTCTTCTTACACTTGTTTTGTTCATCTGGAAAGGGAGATTGCTGCCTGGGAATTTGTTTATTTCTGTGTTAATTTATAGCAATATATATAACAATATCTTCTGTATGTTTCTTCTTGAGCAGTGGGCAAGACTATTATAACAATCAACTTTGGCACAATGATGATTGCTTCTAGGTTTCCGGCAATTTCTTCAGGTTTTCCCTCTTTTTCTTTAATATTTTATGATGATTTGGACTGCTTTTGATATTTTTCCCTTAAATTTTAATTTTGTAGGTTTGCTTCATCCTAGTTATAATAAGCTATCCTTTCAGCTAAACAAATACCAGAGAACTAGACTTGCTTGTTATGAGCCTAATCGATTGGCTTCCGAGAAGGTAATATTTATGAGGTATATTGTCTTAAATTCTGTTAATGCTCGGCATGTTAAGCAGTATTGCTTATTTAATGTTTGAATGTTTTGTTCTTAGATTTCTAGAGGAAGTTCTCTTAGGAAGCCTTGCACAAGCAGCCATGTTGTGTCCCTAGGGAGTAATCGTCAATTGAGTTTCGATGATGAATTACCTGAGGAACCTTTCTGGCTATGTCTGATTAGAGAAACCATATGGTAATACACTAAAGAATGCTCTCTTTTCACCCTTTCGTTTCCCTGTTAGTTTTGATGATATGTTGTTGAGTAACTGACGCATGATGCTTTTAGGGGCATAAGATCTTTGTCTGTGTTTCTGATTAAGCAACCTAGTCAACTGAAATACATAGAGTGGCCAAGCTTCGTAAGCACGGTAAAATATCGGAAAACTAAGTTCCACTTGGAAGTTGTAGAACGATTTATATTACAACAGATTAGTATAAGCTCGAACTTATTTGTTTTCATGGTCGTTTTTTTTTTCAGCTGAAGACTGCTATTTTAACTCTTGTTCTAGTTGCCGGGCTCATTGTTGCACTAGCATCAGTTGATTCCCTCCTCTGCTATATTTTAGCTTTGTTGCTCAGAAGAACCCCTTAATAATTGAAATATAGATTCCTTGAATGTTGCATTAGGGTTATCCATGGTCCGTTCTTCATAATATGTAGCTCGGTTTCGCTTGTGGAAGAACTGCTATTGTTTTTGCTGCAAAAGATGAATGGCAGCGGAAATTGTTCACCGGACCTGCAGCAACCATTAGCTTAGTGACTTAGCAAAGAAATGGCTATCTTATAGACTTTATTTTGTATATACCGTCTTGTTTAATGTTGTTTCATTTTCTGAGAATAAACAACTTTCTGATAAAAAGGTTCCACTTATCATCATCTATGAATAGAAAAACGATGTTTATAAGGGTTTCAGCAAAGATAATATCACCAGGAAAATAATTTCTGGGGGAAAAATTAAAAGACAAACAGGTAAGATGGCATTTACAGAATTAGTTGCCGAATTCTGGTTGAGAATCAATTGGTATATAGATTTTACGGAAGTTTAATAAAAATTATAGTTTGAGGACATATGATATAATTAATTCATTTTATTTTACATTAATATCATCGCTCTTTTGATTAATATTAATAATTGAATTCAATGATTTTTTTGAATAAATTGATATTATATGTTAAGTATTTTAAAGTGACATTCCTATAAATTTATAATTTTCGAACTTCTAAAAATTTAATATACCACATAATAATTCTTACAATCAATTTTTTAATTCAAAAATGTAATTAATTTAATTTTTCGAAATTTTTAAAATTAAATTCGAAGAATTTAAACAGCTTTAAGTCATGGTAATTTAATTTTGGCTAAAAATATAATTATAACATGATTCAAATAAAAATAAGGAAATAAGTTTTAACACGATTCTTTTACACGCAAGAATGTGAGATATTATCTGCATAATGCAAGTCACACAGTCGAAGAGTAACTGCACTTACAGAAGAACAGAAGGAGACTATTGATATATAAAGAACTATGAAAACTATCACAGGAAATAACTATAACAATCGTCACCTTGTTCTCTTTCTCTAGTGCTTTCGAGTTTTTCGACAAACATGAAGCTCGATACGGGTATTAGTTTCCAGTTGAACGTTACAGAGTACATTAAAAAATCGAAGGCTTGCTCCTCGTTTATCGCTTTTTGGAAGCTACCTGGTATTCACATAAGAAAATGATACAACACGGGGGGGCATGCGACATAGGCATACATAATCAGGTGCCACCGGCTTCGGTTGGCGTAGCACAGGGAGCCAGTATGTTAGGAGGGAAGTTAACTCCTCCCCCTCTAACGGATAGATTAGGGCCCTTAACCGAGCTGGCCCTGCTCACTAGGTTCGAGTCAAGAAACACCACAATAACTGTGATGTCGTCATGGAAATGCCGGCGGACACCACGGTCGATCTTCTTCAAGTCGGAATACCTCATTTCTCGCTTCTTTGCTGCCTCTTGTAGAGCAGTTTTTACCAGCCTCTTTGCACTTCCCTGCATAATCCAAAACCAAAAGGTTAACATTCAACGTTTTAACCCTTATTTTCAGATCACTCCTCGTCCCCGCATGAGCATCGTTCAACCGATACACAAGCAAATGTCATTTTTTTTCACTTGTATGCATGCAGGAAGAAGATGACCGGAAAAACACTATTCGTTACAGGCATATTATTTATATCTGGCCGGTTTACAATAGAATCATCCGTATTTAACCAAATGGAAGTTACGAATGGAAGTTTCTGAAGAATAGGAGGAAAAAATTATCAAGATAAACGATACCTAAACATTGGAGCATAAACTTACACTTCGTGGATGATTTTGAACTATATCGACAGCCTCCTGATTACTTAGGTGCTCCCAAAGCCCATCCGATGCAAATATCACAAATTGATCTTGTGGCTGCAGCTGGTGCACCGATGTTGATGGATCTGCACTCAATATTGGCTTTTTAAAAGGTTCGCGAAGGCGGAATTTTTTATATAAAGGCTCCCTGTTGAACTCAGCCTTTTTCAAATATACATCACCAATGGACCTGGAAATCTGAAAGATCAAGAATTTTATCAACAAACAATCGGAAAAAAGTGCGATCCGAGAACAAACCATGAAAAACCACAGAAAGGGCATTACAATATCAAACTGCTGGACATATAGCATACAGTTGTGGAATGTGCTATAGCCCTCTCTCACACACTCTTCGATCGGGGATGTGGAGAGGGGATTCTATAATAGTGATATTATAGCAGAAACCTCATTAACGAATAAAGGCTTTGCGCCATCCTGGTCAGTCTTAAGGTTTTTAACCAAGCAGTTGTGGCGTTTGTAAGTAAAGGGTAACTGCCATGGCAGCAAAAGTGTCTCACATATGAAATCCATGAGACAAGTTGTAAATCTAGGTGCATATTGCTTTCTGAGAAGCTTCAAATTATTTCTAAATATTCCCTATGTATACATGGTAACTTGCTCCGAAGTTTCTCGACCAATTTGATCAAGCAAGAAACCTGTCTAAACCATCAGTTAAGAAATCCAAAATGAGAACCGTCCCGTTGGATTTCCTAGCCTAGCCATAGATTCTAATCTGAAGTTCAAAAAAACCAGGAAAGTAAATATAAATAAGTACCTATGGGCTATGGTAAAAGAACTATTTCTCCAATCCCCATGCTTTGTGGGAGGGGGTTCATTTTGTCAAGGGGTTGCTCTGACCGTGTTCCAAGGCCATTATGACAAGGCAACCAGAATTTTGTAGTTTATTCGCTCAGTAAAACCGGGGGGTAATTAAAAGCTAGCAGAGTATCTCCTTTCACCAAGCCAAAGCTAAGACAACTAGATAGATGAAAAGACATACAGCTAATGTGATTCAATAATAAAAAAGCCTGAAGTTTAAAAATAACCAAGACCACCACTTGGAATCCAACAACGTTCAGGTTCTCTAGCTTTAAGAAACAGCCGGTAGCACTTCTTACCCCTTCCCATAACCTTTTTAATTACTAACATCTCTTATAGTCAAAGATTTTTTCGCATTTCCTTTTCTCTTCCATGCATCCAACTGGAATCGGTTATTATACTGGGTACCCTTCTCCTCCACAGCTCCAAACTATCTTTATCACATAAGAAGAGAAAATACCATGCAGCTGATATCCAATGGTTCGTTCCCCAACCACTTACCACAGCAATGCAAAAGCATTGCTGTTTAGAAATACTGCCATTACCTACTCAACTTAGCAGATAAATTACTACTACTTCAAAATTAGAAAGGAAATGTATGCATGGTGAAACACACCTGTATGAGACCTTTTACACGCCATACGTTATGCTTCAAAACTACAATTTGTGAGTCATCCGGATGCAATGACTTCATCTCCTGTCTTACAGACTCTATACACACATTATGCTCAGCCGACAGCTGAATGGCTAGAACCTCTCCTGTCGCCTTCACAGCTCTCCCCAAGACAGCACGGGAATCACCAAGGTTGGCAACATAAAGAGATCCACCACAGATAACACCAACCAGGCAGCAGGATCCAACAGCTGCAATTTGCGGTTTCATGGGCCACTGTTTGGTAACGAGAGACAAGAAACCCTCTTCTGTTGTTTGATATGCTTTCCGTATCACATCAACTGACATCCCTTGTTGCTCTGAAGTAAATCCTGAAAACCACAAATATCATCAGTGCAAAAGTGAGCACGGAAACATAACATAGATATCTCTTGGTTTTGATTCGGAACGAACACTTAACTATCGCAGCAACAAGTTTACCACAATAACTTACAATCATTTCATCACATCCAAATCAGTAAATAAAGGGAAACAGAAAACTATAACCTTAGCAAATGCTTTGTGCTTACGCTTTAGATATTGAAAGAGATGATCATTGATGTAGCGTGAAGTCTCTGGGCCTCCATGCCCATCATATACACCAACAAAAGTACCGTAGGGGCCCGAATCATGTGAACTCAAACAACCGGACTCAAGCTGGCTCTGGTCCTCAAGTAAATTGTTGGCCTGTACAACTGCCATCGATAACTCACCGTTGATGTGCTGCCCTGAGTCCTTGTACCACAAAAGGCCATCTTGACGACCTCCGGCTTCAGAACTTGTGTGAACGTATCGATCAGAACTCAGTAGAAAACAGGCCCTCAAAAACTTCATCAACCCAGATAACATCCCTCATCTCACCCACAAAACCCTCCCAATACTCATCTAAACCAGGCCCTAGAAATTTGAAGGATGAGCCCTATCCTCCTTTGGTTCTCAACACAACACTTGAACACTGCAGCAACAGCAACAACAACAAAACAAAGCCAACCAAAAAGATTAGCAATAGTTAAATGTGCAGCAACCTGCAACTTAGTATCTTCCACGAACCCTAAAGGGAAACATCACCAACTACAAGGTACAAAACACTAGGATATCAATAAATGATGTCCAATATACAAGCTGTTTCTCAGTTTGTCTTTCAGCTCAAACAACAAAAACTGTTCCTTCTTAAAACAGGAAAATGATGACCGTACAAGCACCTGCTGGAAAAATCAACAAAGCACAAAAAGGTTTTTTGGCAAACAAGGGAATTGGTCGAATATCACTTCTTTTTTCCATCAAAACAGTTTGGTCAGACCATTAGGATATCCAGAAGGTCTAATGTTCCACGTTGAAAACTTCAAACAAAATCCCAGATTCACATAACTCTTTAGACCCACTAATCAATCATAAATCAACTTATATTTCCAACACCAAGTACAGAAAAACAGATAGGGAAAATACAAAAAGGAGAAAGCTTACCTTTTCTTTGGGTTATATACTTGAAAAGGAAGATCTGGTACCAGAAAAGGAAGAAACTTCATGCGGGTACGGAACTTGGAAATACCAGATCTATGGATCAATCAAACCAAAGGAAAATAAAGAGGAAATTTGGGTTTTGGCTTCTGATTTGGTTTGTTTCAAGTTTCAACAAGTGATGAGATAATTGAAGAAGAAAGATAAACGAAATGGATGAGCTTAAAAAAAATAGGAGTCCTTTTTAAGTGAAAAGATTTCGGCTTGGTCCCTAAAAATACATATAGAAAAGCTCTTTATCCCCCCTTATCTCTCTTGTTTCTCTCAGAAGACAACACCCGTAAAATACCAACAGTGGAAAGCTCGAAGCCAGCAAAGCAAAGGTCCAGTTTTGGGCTCCACCCCCCCTCTGTAAAATAATTGCAAAAAAAAAAGGATTGAAAGAGAGAAGCTTTCACAAAGATTAATAGTCAATACAAGGTTTATAAGTATATGATATATATATGGAATAAAACTAAATTTCTAAATCAGCAATGAAATTCTCCTACTGCATTCATTTAGAAGATTTATATTTAACATCGAATTCGTTATCATTTTACTCAATATACCCTTGGTATTATAATATTAACTTCTCTACAGAAGAAATAAGATCTAACGGAAGTAACAGGTGGCGCCATTTTTGTTTGCCACGAACCTAACTATCACCGGTGGTTTTCATCTTTGAACCACTGTGTTGTTACACGTGTTAGTTCTATCAAAAGTCGTATGGAATTGTGGTACCTTGGGCGGTGGTCGTTATTACAGGTTACTGTTGGAAAAACCGAGTAACACAGACTCGAACCCTCCACAAAAAACAAGGGACAATCGGCTGCTTGGTTTCATTGTTCAATTGGACGGTATATATACCGTATATCTTTGAATCAAACCTGTTACCCAACTATAATATGATTATAACTAGGGACAAATAAATAAAACGTTTGATTAATAGTTTGTATAATTTTTTTTATTAAGTTAAATAAACGAATATAAATAAAATAAAATATATTTATTTGATAAAGAAACAAACATAAATAGAAGTGTGTTCAGTTCATTCATAAGTTTGTTTATCAACTCGTTTATATGATTTTTCTTTTCTATTTTTACATTTTTAATATTGATAAAAGTAAAGATTAAATTGAATATATTATGAATTTTAGAGTTCAAATTGTGAAGCTTAAGGACTAATAATATAATTTCATTATTTTTTAACGTACAAACTATGAACGTAATTTCACCAAGAAATTAAATAAAAAAATCCCCTATATGTTTGTTTGAAAAGCTAAATAGTGAGAAATATTATTTTGAGAAGGCAAATGAGATTGAAGAATTAACCTGACGGATATTTAGATGTATATTCAATTATTTTGAATGAGTTTCATGTAAAACCAATTGAATGAGAAGAAAGAGGAGTAAAATGCATATATTTTAATATTGATATTGTCATGAATGGCAACCGGTAATGAATGACGAGTACTGTCAATAAAAATAAAAAAGTTTAGTGTCGAAAATTAAAATATTTTAAGATTTAACGATGAAACTAAAAATGATATCATTTTGAACATCAATATATCTAAATTAAAACAATATCGTTTTAATTATATCATCGCATTAGTAGAAATAACGTTCATACCGACGTACCATATACGACTTAAAGATTTAGTGATATAATTACATACAAATTAAAATTTAATATTATAATCATACAATCATACTAATTTATAATTCAATGATAAATTTTATACAAAAATTAAAGTTGAATGTAACTTAATAATTGATAATGCTATTGATGGACTTTTGATAAATTCCTATAATTACATGTAGAAGGACTACATTTAAAAGGTTCAAAGAATATAGGGACTGAAGATACAATTATACTTAATATAAATTGTGAAAATTGAAATTATTATATGAATTTTATTCACGTAAACATCTCAATAAATCTGGATTTAGATTTACTAATACGATCATCTTTTAAGATTAACATTTTACATTTTATCCTAAATATGAATTCGACTCAACTCGAGTTTAGAGATATTTCACCCGACTCAAAACTCATCATATTTTTTTAGTAAAAATTCACACCCAACCTGATACATGTGTATATTTTTCGTTTTATTTAATAAAATAAAGACCTAATTGAAACAATATAGAGAAGAGTATTATTATAATTATCTATAATATATAAGAAATGATATTATTATCTTGAGTCGGTTCGAATAAAAAAAATTATCACTATGACTCAAATCTAATTAATTTTCAAAAAATATTATTCGGTTTTATAGAATCGAACCAAATTAAAACTTATCAAATCTAGACGTCTTCCTCGCCCATGTAGGGCATTGGAAAAAAAATTCCACATATATGGCTCTACCCAAATCATTTCTTGAACGGGGGTGTTTGCTACAATGACCTCATTGGTCGCCAAGTGCTCCTTGCGACAAAGCATCATCTGTTGCAACAACTCTTCTCTCTTCCCTCGCTGTTGCAGCTCCATAGGTCGTCAAGTGCTTCTGGAGACCTATGGAGGTCGACATGTGCTCCCGGAGACCTATGGCGGTCACTGTAACAATCACCCTACTTAAGCAAATAATTGTTCGACTGCGCTATATGAAGAATTTTTTTTCCATTACATTATTCAAACAGTTTTGCCTATCTAGACCATATGACCATCCTTAATGCTGAGAGAGACAAATTCGGATAAAATGAAAGGAAGAAGAGATTTGTCCCTTCACCTAACATATATAAAATAAGATTGAAATTAAATGCATGTGAAGGGACGACGGTCCAATATATTTGATTTGATATATTACTAATTTTGTTCATTGCCTGGCTAGCTGTTGCTGAGTAGTAGAACTTGTTACAAGGCTGTTTGACATTACACATATCCGTTTGCTTCGTCTAAAATAAAGATATTGATATATACATATAATAAGTCAAATTGAATAATTTTGACTCTTACTTTAATTGATATATTCATTACTTAATATTTTCAATTCATTAAATTTCACAAATTCAGAACATATAAGGTGATTTTAATAATAATAAAATTATAATTAAAAAAAAATTAGGTTCGAACAGTTATATCTACATGATGTATATACGTTGTCAATTAATTAAAAATCTCTACGTAAATAATCGAGGTTTGAGTTCAATAGGGTCCTAACTGGTTCCGTCTTCCATAAATGCAGAATGGAAATATATGAATAAGGTAGTATGTCGTTATTAAAACCAGATGTCAAATCTTACAATCCTTACTATAAGAAGATACATCCCACGAGGTGATGAATCCATTTATAATCTCTTAGGTTTCGATAATTCTTAAATAAAGTTTCGAGTTCAAATAATAGTGAATTTCTAAATTTAAAAATATTTAATGGAATTTATTAAAAGGAATCAGAGTTTAATTAAAAAAAATAAAATTTTGAGGGTTTAATTAATTTTTCAAGGGATTTAGTATTATTTTTAATTTTTAAATTTAAATAAAATTAATGTTGGAAAAAGTTATTTTCTAAAACAGGTTTTATTCTATTGAGACTTGGGTTTAGTTGAAATTATATTAGCTACTTAAAGCAACCAAAGGGTTTAGAACAAAAATAAAAATAAAACATAATAGAGTTTCAATAATGTAATCGTAATCAATTATTGTAAAATATTATATAAAAATATTTTTATTTACAATTAATTTTTTTTATATTTTATAATGTAAAAAAATCATGTTGAAAACAATGAAAATAAATAAAAAAAATATCATATAAAAATTATTAGTTATTTTTATTTAATTAATTAAAAAAACGTTTATTATTTTTTAAAAAACTTTATCAAATAACACTAGAAACCATAAAATAAAATCAATTCCTTAAAATAAAAAAATTAAAACCTAAAACAATTTAATAAAAATAAAATTATAAAAATAGTTTAAAAATAAAAAACCGACCGAACTAAACAAATTTCACGTGTGAGTGAACAATGCCAAATAGTTAAGAATTATCTTTGAACAAATATCACCTTGTACTTACTCAAAATTAATAATAATAAAAAAGGTATGTGTGTTCGTGGATCGGATTAAGTTAAATTTTTGGTCCATTCGAACTTAACTTGAGTATAACACTCTTTTTTTTTACAGGTGATCCAACTTGATTTGGATTTGGAGAAAACCTATTCGACTCGAAACCTGATCATACTTTCGAGATAATAGCCCGCCCTCGATCTAATCCGAATTATTATTCTTAAATATATGAAGATTAATTACACTACTATTCCTAGATCAAATATTTTAATCATAAACCTAACACAAACTTTCAAAAAAAAAATCTAACATTTTAAAATCGTGCCAGGTCAAAGTTATCGAATTCGGGCTAAATACCCATTCCTAATTTAATGTCTGAGAAATAAGATCACCAAAAAAAAAGTGAAAATAAAAACCCAGAAACGGCGGCCAGCATGTTCTATTTGCAAGCCCAAGGGTGTATTTGGGCTTAGAAGTTAATCACAATTGTAGCAGAAACCATAGGAAACCTTCGTGTTGGAAAAACCAGACAGATCTATCTTTTTTGAAGCAACTAGGGTTTTTGTTTCCTTCCTTCATCGGAAACCCTCAGCTTTGCTCCGAAGAATGCCACTGTACTTGGAACATTAAATTAAGAAGAAAAAAACATGGCATTTTGGCGTAGAATCAATCAATCTAAGCTTCAACTTATATCAAATCAATGCAGGAGATTACACTTTCAAGCTCCTCATGCATCCTCGGTTAATCAAACGAGGATCTCTGCTTTAGAGAAATTCGTTTGCAGTATCGAGAATAAGCCCTCTTATTTTTACATTAATGTCAGGTCTTTTGCTGCACCGATTCAGGTAACTTTGCAAGATCGTATTAGCTTTTTGTTCATTTAGTGTCTTTTTTTTCCCTTTTGAATCTAGTTATGTTGTTTTCTTTTGATGAAAAATTTATTTGGTTAATAGCACTAGACGTCCCTGAACCATGTGTTGAATTCTAAGTTAGTCCTGAGAGATTTGTTCCCAACAGGTTACTCCGTCGGTTTAGTTGTCAGTTTCAGTTTAGGCCCTTAGGCTCTGCTTGGGATGAAGGATGGAAATTCTTTAATCTAATGGTTAAATTTCAAAGTAAGAAAGTGGTTATGAATCTTAATCATTTGATTAACAAATTTTCATCCTTCATACCAAGCCAAGCATTATTGTCAGCTTGTATATGTCAGGAATCGTAACAGGTCTAAGCTGGTAATTAACATCGATGTTGATTGTTTCTTTAGTTCAGTTGGAACATTTTTGAAGATTATGGTTGAATTGGTTTAGAATTTCGCTCATAAATTGGGCCATTGGGGACGTCTGGTGCATGTGCAATTAATCTTTTTTCATCT